ACCATTCTCCTTGATCTTCCTAAAGTACAAATTTGATCACGGAACTTTGCTCAATCTCCTCAGCCCTGTGGATGAGAACAAAACTCCTTAACATGGCTCACAAGGCCCTACACAATCTGGCCCATGCCTACTCCCTCCAGCCCTACCAATTTTTATTCTCCTTCACTGTCTGGACAATGAGAGTAGACATGCAGACTAGGATCCCAGACCAGGATCTCAGTGCCTTTACACATTGTGCCCCACCCACCTCCAGGGACTAACTTTTCTCCCCCCCTGCTCCCAGTCCTACTGCTCTTCATCCAGCCAAGGCCCACTTTTCATACTGTCCTCAGCTTAAACATTGTGTCCCTCAGGGATGCCCATTCCAACCAACAACTCCAGCTCCCATGTCTTACTACAGTACCCTATGCCCGACTTATTTTACTCCTTATCACACAACATTTTAACTGACTATTAACCCAGGTAGTTTCCCTATAGTCCGGAGTATGTAAGGACAAAGCGGTGTTTGTAATACTTTGTTTCCCTTGAACCCATCACAGTGCTTGGCTTGCTCTAGATGCTCAATACATATTTAAAGAATAGATAGATTCAATCAATACAATTTAACAAGTGCCAACCTAGTCAGACACTGGACTAGGCCTTGGATGTATACTGTTGAACAAAACAGACCATCTTTAACCTTACAGAGCTTACAATCTAACAGGAAAGTATAAACAAATAAGCAAATCAAACCCAAGTACAAACTGAAATATGTTCCATGAAAGAAATAAACGGAGACACTTTTTAGGAGGGTCAAGGAAGGGTTATCTAAGAAAAATTCACATGAAATTTGAAAGCTGAAAAAGGAGTAGGCTAAGCCCATTTTTAGGAGAGGTTCCTTTCTATATTTCAGGTGAATAACCAGGCAGTGGGCCAACGAGTATATACCGCGTGACTACCATCTGCCTCGCATCTGCTAGACGTAAGAAGTGCGGGGAGAGACGGCACTAGATAACTACATGGTGGGTTTCTGTCATACTCTGGGGTGTCTCCAGAGAGCTTCTCCATCCCTGACGCCCCCACCCCCATCCAGGGCTCTCCCTTCTAGGGCTCCACTGTATCCCCCCGACTCGCCCACCCCGTCTGATATTAGCTACTACAGCTCCTCCTTTATTCCCCGCCCCCTTCTTTGTCCGAGGTTTCTCTCCCTTCAAGACTCCTTTGAGCTTCCTTCCCTCCCTCTTCCTGGGCCCAGCTCTTGCCTCTGTGAAACCCCCATAAGTCGTCTGGTAGAACTCATCTTCCTCCTCTGCCTCCAGGAGCCCAGAAAGCCGGTTCCCCGCGGTCTTCCGGGGGGCCCGGCCCCCAGCCAAACTCATATCTCCTAACGAGACTGAGCCGCCTCCAGCGGCCCCTCACCCAGCGCGGTTCTCGGCGCTCGGCGCTCGACTCCGCCACCTGCGGGTGGCCGGCGGCGGCGGAAGCTGGGCGTCTGCAGGCAGAAATAGCAGAACGTCGAGAGGCTCCAAGTTCCGCTCCCTAAGCCTTAGCTCTTCAGTGCCACCCACTCCTGCACAGAGACCACCTGCAAACACCCAGGGCTAGGTGGCGCAGACCTGTGACACCAGGAGCCCCAGTACCCTAAATCCAGAATTTGGGAGTCAACAAATTTTCATTTAGGAGAGGTCAGTCTCCTTCTGCTCCAGTCCGTTTTCAACTCTGCTGCTAGTAGGAACCTTTCTAAGAACCCAGACTTTGTCACTCTCCTGCTCAAAATTTGAATGGCTCGCTGTCATCTACAGGATAACATCCAAAATCCTTGAGGCAGAATAGTAGTGTGGTTAAGAGCACAACTTTAGAGCCAGCCAGACTTGAGTTTGAGTTTGAGCTTAAAGTCTTCTAACTGTGTGACTTTGGACAAGTTGCTTTACCTCGCTGAATCTGTTTTCTTATCTGTAAAGTGGGACTAATAATAATACCTACCTTTTAAGGCTGTTGAGAAGATTAAGAGATATAATTCTGGTAAACTGCTTAGCACAGTATTTAGTAAGCACATAGATGTTTACTAGGTGATTGCTATTAACATGGCGTTCAAGATCCTTCATAATTTAGCCTCTCCCTGCCTTTCTAGCCTCACCTCCTGCTACACATCCTATTAGCATCACTTCCCTAACACCCAATTCTCTGTCATGTCTCTGTGCTTTTCCTTCCCCTTAGAATCCCTTTCCTTTCTTGTCTACCTGGAAAAATTCTGATTCTATAGGACAGTGAAGTCTTCTCGCACATCCATTCCTCTCTTCCCAGGCACAGTTTCCGTAACCATGGAGATCATGCCTCCTAGATTCCCTAGAAGAGTTCCAATCTTAAATAGTCTGTGGTATTGTCAAGACTCTGTGTCAACTTCTATTCCCATTTTTTATTCTGAAAATATGGTTGTCAAACCATAGCACTTGTACAGACTCTATGATGGCACCTATTACATTTTTTTCTAATGATTTATATGTCTGTCTCTCTCATTAGTATGTAATCTCTTTTTGAGGGCAGGGACTTTATCTTCATCTGTGTATACCAGGAACTCTCATAATGCCTAGGACATAGTTGGGGCTAAATAATGTTTATTCAATGAATGAATTAATGAGTGACTAATTGAATGAATAAGCTACCCATCCTTTTTTGTTGTTGTTAAAGATTGGCACCTGAGCTAACATCTGTTGCCAATCTTCTTTTTCTTCCCCCCTGCTTTTTCTCCCCAAATCCCCCCAGTACATAGTTGTATATTTTAGTTGTGGGTCCTTCTAGTTGTGGCATGTGGGACACCGCCTCAGCGTGGCCTAATGAGTAGTGCCATGTCTGTGCCCGGGATCTGAACCGGCAAAACCCCGCGCCGCCGAAGCAGAGCACACAAACTTAACCCCTTGGCCACGGCTGGCCCTGAATATGGCTTTAATAAAGTTCTGTGTGTGTGTGTGTGTGTGTGTGTGTGTGTGTGTGTGTGTACTGTTTCCTTCAAGTCTGTATGTGTGGCCCTATTTTGAGATCACCAGATTTCCTCCCTTTTCCCAAGTATATATTGGTAAACTCCCTTTTCCATTTCCTTTGGGGCACCATGCCAACATGTCCTGTTCTAACCCCTGCTTCCACACCCTGCCACGTCACCCTAGTTCTGCTATGCCAGGAATGTTAGTGGGGAAGAGTGGCTCTATGACTCAGAGAGCACCCCAGGAATTGAGTGGGAGTGGGGGCAGAGACAAGGTTTAGGGAGAAAAGATGGGAGACACCCCTAGCCTCATTTTTTGAATTTTGCCTTCATCCATTCATATATTTAGGAGACAGGTATTGGGCACCTACTCTGTGCCAGGCACTAGTCTAGATGCTTGTGATATAAAAATGGGTAAGATGAAATCTTTGCCCTGAAATGTTCCTGTATTATGAGGGAGACAAACAAGTAAACTTACATAATACAAGGTGGCAGGAATAATAGTTGCCATTTTCTGGTACATAAAAGAGAAACAAAGACCTCTAAGAAGCTACAAAACAGGGATCTCTTATTTCAGGAGGGCTGAAATCAAATTCATAGATCAAATCCCAAGGAGAAGATCCCCCTATTTGACCTACTGCTTTGGTGAGTCAGGGCTTTATTGGTCTATTTCCAATTTTTAAATCAGAAACAGTTTTACCTCTATACCAGTTGATTTCTAAAATAACTCTGGAAATAGTAACAACTCCATGCCTTTTTTTGGAAACGGATAATTTATTCAACAAATACTTATTTATTGAATACCTATCAGCCAGATCCTGTGCTAGACAGTGTGCCTCCACCTGTCTAGTTCTAGCACTGTTTAGTTGGGTGGTAGGTATAGGTACAGGCAATCATAAAATACTTCAGTGCTACAATTCCATTGCTATGGAGTTACAAATGGCAATCCAATCATTTGAAGTTTGTGTACCTTCAGTACCCAAAGGAGAATGAATAATCCAGCAGGTGGCAGCAGGGAAACAATTATTTTACATGTCGATGAGGGACGGGTAGAAGGCAGAGGTAAATGCGTGGGGATATTCTCTGGACGTTGGGGTCCCAGGTTGCCTTTTGAGGACCTCAAAGGCATCCGCTTAGAGGATAACCAGGCCATCTTGGGGGCTACAAAACTAAGATTTTTCCTATTTCTCTCCATTTATTCATTCCACATATAATTTTTGAGCTCCTACTATGTAGAGTCACATCATGGGAGGAACTGGAGATACAAGAGTGAAACAAACATAGTCCTTGCTCTGCAGCAGCTCACAGTCTGTTTAGAGAGAAACAGTGCTACAGATCCCCACCAGGGTTCACAACCTCCAGGGTACGTTGTTAAAACTGAGCAGGGTTAGTCTAGAATGGGGAATTTCTCTGTGTGTCTCCATGCCCCTTGGAGCATAGATAACTGAGAGTTAGAGCTAAGGGCTTGGATCGCAAAAGATTGTGATACAGTCTGATTGCCTTCCGTGGCCCTTTTTGACAGGTCTTCATTTATTTATCAAATATTCACTGAACTCCGTTGCTGTGCCCAGCATTGGGCTTGAGGCAAAGTGTAGATCTGTTTCGAATGTCATTCAGACGAAGGCAAGACATCCACGCATGGTAAACGAAATAGTAAACAAGGCAGTAAAGCCGGAAGAATACTTGGTGGCGTGTGATGTTTTGTGATATTCAACTGCTTAACGTCTCGGACCTGACCGCACGGCTTCTGTCAGGAGTTCTTTCCTGGGCTGTGAAATTAACAGGTCTGGCCGGGTGGACTTTCATCCCGAACTCAGGCAATGTAAACCCACTCATTTCAAAGAGCCGAATCTAAACTGACCCACCGGGCCACCGTAGGGACGGTTTGCTGACCGACGCGCGCAAGTCTTCAACCCCTCGATTAGTTAGAGGGACTCGCATCATGTGACCAGTAGCAGCGTCTCGATTGGCTGGTTCCTCTCTGGGCCTCCCTCCCCCTCCCCCTTGAGTGGGATGGAACGCTAAGAAAAATTAGGCGCATGCGCAGTGCCTGAATTTCCCTGGCCACCCGGAGTGGAGCGGCCGGGTTGGGCGACAAACAGGCTGTGGCTAGGGGGGAGGGGGAGAGGGCATTTGCTCCTTCGGGACTTCTCACGCCTCCTAATTCCGTTGGGTGTGGTTTGGTCCGCACACAGGGTCCCGCAAGCCAGCTTAAGCCCACTCCCTTGTGAAAGGGGAAAGTAGCTCCCGCGGAAAGCAGTTAAAGTTGAGGGGAGTGTGAGAGACGGAGTTCTCCCCCATGCTAGCCGAATGGTGCGGCCCTGAGGTGGTCCTGGAGCCGGCCCGACGTGTCTGAGAGAGGCCCCAGGGGGGCGGGGAGGTGGCCCGCGGAACGCGGGTTCTGTGAGGAGACGTGGGGAAGATTCGACTCTGAGAAGAGGAAGAGCCGGATTGAAAGGGAGCGAGGCCGCTGAGGGGGAGGGGGCTGCCAAGATGGCGTCGGCCTCCTCTGGGCCGTCGGCGGTCGGGGTTTCATCCGTGGATCCCGGGGTCTCTTCCGGTGCCTCGTCCTCAGGTAATCTGGGCGAGGGTGGCAGGGGGCTGACGACGATTGTGCGATGGGAGCAAGAGCGAGACCTGGGAGGGCACCTGTAACTGGGGATGTCCGAGGAGTTGCCGGTAAGGAGGACAGAAGGCTGGGCTTTCAAAGAGCAGGGCTTTCCGAGCGGGTTGGGGGCGTCTGAGGAAAGGATGGATTTGATTGAGTAAAGGGAAGCTGTCAAAAACGTTGGCTGTCCTCGAGAAGACCGAGTTGAGGACTTTAAGGAGGAGGGTTAGGAAGGGATGGAGATTGAAGATGCGGGTAGAAAGGAAACAGAAGGGAAATGGAATGGAGTAGAGAAAAGTAAAGTAAATGGAGGCCTCGTAAGTAGAGAGGAATTACTTAGTGAGAGAGGCAGGTAGAATCCAGGCTGATTGTGGGATTAATTGGATAAAAATGTGGAATAGAATCCAGGAGACTTAAAAGGTATTGAAGAGTTATGGGATGCTTTAGATTGCTAGGGAGTTAGGGAATTGTAAATTTTGTTGGAGATGGGAGTTACTGGAGACGTCGTTTTCCTCAAGAGACTCCTCGTGATGCCTCATTCCTTCTCATTCGTGGTACCCCCCCATCCCCCGCGCTCACACAGTCTCATCCATATTTTGTAAAGCATTCTCCTTTGATGACTCCCATTTCTAGACTGCCCAGCTTTGGAAAGAGTGGGACGTTTGGAAGAGAGCCTGAGGAATGTGGAAAACTAGAGTTAAAAGACCCTAAAAGCAGGTGGGGAAGGTGGAATGATGGAGTCTTGAATTGCAGTAGAGGCTGAGAGAGTGATGTTGAGAATTAGGCTTGAGGATGGAGTGGAGGATGGCTCTAAGTCCTGTAGGGGACTATTGCATAATAGGCAGTGGACTGGAAGAATGCTTAGGCTCCATCAGGAAATTGGCTAGGAGAATGAAGCTAGGGAATATAGCTCAAAGTAGGTAGAAACTGTTGAAGATTGAGGGAGGGCTGAGGATCCCACAAGAAAAGCAACAGATTGTATGTAGGAGGGAAAATGTGTGTCGTTGGGGGATTGTGTGTGTGGGGTGGGGGAGTTTGAGTTAGAAACTGTTCTAGAGCTTACATCAGAAATGTCTGATGTTCCGCAGTGACTGTTGCCTCTACACTGTGAACAGAGAGGCTGCCAGATGTTGGATGCTTTACTTGAGATGTTGACATTTCCTTAGGCCTGGGATTGCACCCCAGCCGGTTTGAATTGGCTGAATAGAGAACCACCTTTCATATTCTAGCTCAGATGAGCGAATACATGGTCACAAATATCTTCTTCATAAGCTGCAGTTTTATTTATGTACATCCATTTTTAGTTTCCTGAGAGATGATTTTTGCCTTTCCTGTAAAAGCATTAGAGGGCCAGAACAATTCATGTTGCATTCCAAGTATGAAGAAGGATAAAGCAAAAATGACAGGGTTTTGTTTTGTTTTGTTTTTTTTAAAGATTTTATTTTTTCCTTTTTCTCCCCAAAGCCCCCCGGTACATAGTTGTGTATTCTTCGTTGTGGGTTCTTCTAGTTGTGGCATGTGGGACGCTGCCTAGTGTGGTCTGATGAGCAGTGCCATGTCCGCGCCCAGGATTCGAACTAATGAAACACTGGGCCGCCTGCAGCGGAGCGCACGAACTTAACCACTTGGCCACGGGGCCAGCCCCATGACAGGGTTTTTTTATATGTTACCTCCTTAATTTAAAATCTTTTCTCCCTTTCCCGCAGTACAGAAAGAAGAATGGTTGCGTGTAGTCCTTAAACTGAACTGTTAGCAAGACAGGTATTCTCTCTGTTAGAAACCAGAGGTTAATCTTAAAATCCGTGTTTATATCCCAAAATTGATTCAGCATCTATCTCATGGAAGTGTTGGCCAGGTGGACAGATTTAGGAGTAGAAGGAAATATTTCTTTATCACTTACTGATACATCTTCCTCCTCTTCTGTTTTTACTCCTACTTTGGATAGCCCTACTGTCTTTTTTCAGATGTCACTATTTGATATTTTTGTATGTTTATATGTATCCTGCCAGATCCTAGGGCTAGCAATTAGTAAATTAGGTTGTATAAATGTTTATCCTATTGTGTTTTCTCCAGAAAGTTAAATACTGGGTTTCAGTGGACTTCACAGCTCCTTGACTCCACTATGTTCATATGTGAAATCAAGGTGTAAAAATCTCTAAAAATAAATAGCTTTAGATTCCTTTTTTTACTTTTGTTTCTTACACCTTTCTTATCTGCTTCTTTGGCAAATATTGAAACAGATTAAGAAATTAAGAAAAATTCTATTCATAAATAGTCCTGAAAACATTATGGGATTATGGTATGCAGATATATGGTGCTGACTTTTGTTGTGTATCTGCATGTTTACTTAGGTTTGGGCTTGGTGAATTTAATTTAATAGAATATTTCGTTTCAAGGATATGTTTTTGAAGAGGATAAGATGTTTGATTCTGATGCAAAAAAGGCTATTAAGAGTAGGTTTTATTTGTGATTGCAGGAGAGTGGTGCTCTGTCTGGATAGTACCTGGGAAGTTAGGACATTGGAAGGAATAATCGATGGTTTAGGATTTCCTAAATTGTTAAAGGCTAGAAGGCTAGCTTTGTAGAAATTCAAGATAGGAGATTGTGTGTGTGTGTGTGTGTGTGTTTTCACCATCCTAAAACCAGTTTATTATTCTTAGATGTTTAGCTGAACTCAGCTTAAATTTTGATGAAAACTCTGAAATCCTAAGGGCAAAAGATTCTCTGGCACTGTTGAAAATGGATACAAAATAAGAATGTCAGATTCAGGGACAGAGTGATGTTTTAGATGAGGCATTCATTACCTTTGGAGGCTCAAAATCTTTTGGCATTCAAATTAGAAAGGACAGGTTATTTAGAACAGTTCTTCCTTGCCAGTATTAAACCATTGTCTAGATTATCTCACCATTAAGCTATAGCTGGTCTTTTATGCTGCTGACAAGTGATATACAAAGGGTAGGGCAAACTATATGCTTGTAAGAGATGTTCGACATCTTTTCCCATTGGAATAATTACCATGTTTGGATTTGGGGGAGGCAGTTATAAATGAATATCAGCTTACAGCAGTCATCATCATGCGCTCGTTCTTACACTTGGTTGTTAATAGAAGGCAATGCAGTTTGCCATCTAGTCTCAGCTGTTTGGTGTGTAAAGGAAATTTATCCCTTCTCTTGCTTTCTCTCCTATCCTCATTATTTGGACAATGGCAACCCCATTCTCATTATTTGGACAGTGGCATCACTTAAAAATAAAATCAGCAGAGATGAGGTGCTTTGACAGTGCAGCCATCTGTCACACCAGCATATAGAGAGCCTGTTTCGCTATCTGTAGTTTGGCTAGTCCATCAAGAGCTTGAAATTAAGCCTCTGAGTCTCCTTTTTACTGCATGAAGGGAGAAAAGATTTTCTGTTTTGGAGGCTTGATTTGAAGTTGGTGGAGGAGTTAGAAAGTAAAGTTAGAATGCGAAGGTGTACACTGCGCCCCTGAAATAAGAGCTGTGTGTTAAAATCACATGACTTCCCCCAGAAAAAGCTCTTAAAACCTTGGAAGATTATGAACCTGTAGCTTCTTTTACTTCAGACCAGAACATTTCTGAAATTGTCATCCTTCGCCTATATAATTTTATCATGAGCACAAATGATTTGGAGGTAACTTTACAGCTCCTTTCCTGACTTTTTTTTTCCATAACTAATGAGGGAAACACCAAAGGACTTGAAGCATTTTTGTTTGGGACCTTTGTAGTAGGGCTGGCCTCATCAGTCCTTGATTCTGGTGGCTTTATTCTTCCCAGCAGAGCCCCACCAGTAAATTATGCTGTAATCTGATAACTCCAAATGGTACGGATTTTGTTGAGGGTTTTTTGTTTGTGTTCTTTGTATACAGTGTAAGCCATTTGCAGATTATCCCTTTCCTTTCAGTTCTTCCACATAGTGACAAGTATTGTAGTTTAAGTCACTTTACTGGAGTGAGAAACTGAAATTTAGAAATGTAAAGAAAGAACACTATGTCATGTAGTCACAATATCACCAGGTACCATTTTGGTTGATATTTTGTAAGTAGGGAGAGATTTTTCTGTTTGCTTTTTCCACAGGGGGTTTTTACCCCCCTCCCCTTTTTTCTGTCCCCTTGGTAGATTCTGCCAGAAAACTGACATCAGAGTGTCATTGTTTTTTATTAATAACCATTTATTTCTGCCATGGCTGTTCAAGCCCAGTGTCAAGTGTAATTATACGGACTTATTAGGTATCCAGTATCTGATGTTAATTGGTAATATGTACTTACAAGTTAACTTTGACTATCAAAATAGTATGTTTTGCTTGTTAATTTCTGTGTGCTGTTCTGGGTTGTTGTAAAACCCTTCTGTTTAATAACTTTGCTCAAATAATTGCTAACTACCAGTTATTACGTATTTTATCAGCCTATTTTTCTTTGATAATATAGTGGAAGCTATAGCCTGTGAACTGAACAACAGAGATAACACCAGGCCAAAGAAAGAACTGGGTAAGAGGAAGGTAGTTGTTTTATCTTTTAAGCTGAATATTTTCTTTCCTAGAATTTTGAGATATTCTTACTTGACATAAAGAAAATGACAAGATCAAAATGGCTAGTTTCTTTTTTTCTCTTTCTTGTGTTTACTGGGCATATTTTCTTGATCAAGGAGAAAAGTATACTTCAGGAAATATGCTGTTCTTGGTCGCCTGGCAGAGGGAATCTCCCTGTCTCTGTTCCAAACCCTAGACCACCATTCAATCTCAAAGAGAGAGTGTTTGGACTGATGATGTTTCCTAGAGGAAACCCGTTCCTAGCCCATCTCCCCTATTGAGCTTCACTTCTCCACCCTTTCCTATCAAGAGAGCATTGTTTAGTTTCTACATATTTGTTGATCCTGTTTTGTTCATATCTCCTATGAGCTTCTGTTGTTTCTTTTACTGTTGTCTGTTTGACGTGAAGTTTTTTTCCTCAGCCCTTCCATCTTTTTAACCTTCGTCTCCGATCATTTTTCTTTCTCCTCTTGTAAAATTTTGGTCTGTTTATTTGTAATGGCTGTGTACAATATGTATTAATTGATAAACATATGATTCCTGAAAAGTCTCCTTATTGTTGGAGTCTGAGGAAGACTGGCAAAAAGAGAGAGGAGGGTAGAGTCCTTGTAGGGAGTTCAATATATCTTATTATTTGCCTTGTATACTTAACTGAGCATTATGGAATTAACCCAGAATAAGCACTACCTCAAAGGATCAGTGATGTTGATGGGGAGTGCGCTAAGGGAACGTAAGCAAGGGAAGTTGGAGGGAGAGAATGGGACGAGGTTTTTTAAGGATATATAGTTAGCTAGAGCATAGTAGCTTTCCTATGCAGTGTAGATAAAGTTTTCCTTGTATAAAAGGGATGGCAGAGAAGTAACTTGGCCATATGTCTGATTTCCTTGCATTAGAGGTTGGGGAGTAATTAGCTTGAAGTGCATTCTTGGGGCAGTTAATGCTCATTATAATATCATTAAAGTTAGACTTTCCCTGCTGAAACATGTACATTCCAATCCAGCAAGATTCATTGCTTTTCAAAGATAGATAGAGCCAGGTTTGGAAATAGAATTAGGAGGTGGCAATCTGCCAGGACGCCCAAGTACCTCTTGGCCATGGGTGGCTTATCCAAGAGATTCAAGTCTTTTAAGGAACTCAGATTTTTTACCTATTTCCAACCAAAGTTTTGGTGCCAAGAGATACATATTTGAGGCCTGAGAACCATGAAATTTACCTTGTAGAAATGGAAGCAAAACTTTATTACTAGAGGGAAATGTAGAGACATTTTAATTTCACCTCATTTTACAAACTAGGAAACTGAGGTTCAGAGAGATGGTTGCTAGAGGCAGAGATGTTGCATAAGGGCTGTACGTATGATATCAAGATGAGTTTTAGTAAACCTGTGGTTCATTCCTTGCCACTTAGTTGGCTCTTAGCTGAGGTGACCCCAGGACTGATAGATCAGACTGGTTTTAAGTTTTGTTTCTAGGAGATCTTCGCCTTTCTAACTTTTTTCTAGAAGATCTTTTGCAAAAGTTGACACCTACTAGGAAATAAAATTTAGCTTTTCTCTGAGATATGGCTTGGTTTTCTTAATTGGCTAGATTTAGCCCTTACTGAGGCTATGGTAATGGTACTTTTTTTTAAACACTCTCTCTTATAGCTGTGTGCTCAGCAATACTACTCAGGAGGCAGGCTGACATTTGAGACATATTTCTGAGTATTTTCATTTGGGGAACATATTGTGCCTCCCACCTGCAGGGATATAGTTAAAATCACTTTCAGTATTCCAGGTTAACGAGGAGCAGAGAGATTGCTTCAGATAGTCCAGCAAACAATAGGGCTGATCATGTTTTTGTTTTGTGTGGGTTTTCGCTTTTGCTTTTTTTGTTTTCTTATAAAACCTCTGGCTCTCAATCTTATCAACGAAGAGATCCCCTAGGAGTTAGCATTTTGCTTCCAAAAAGCCTGCTTGTCTCTTTGTGCTCTATGTAGGAATTATTGACACATTTATGTCGTAGTATTGGTAGGTCATTGAGCTGTCTCTGGGATTGCTTCTGTATGACCTGTTGAGGCAAAACTCCAGTTGTCTGAGGAATGCACATCCGGCCAGCCTCTAGCGTCCCCAAATTATATGTGTACTTCAAACACTGAAGTCAGTCACACACAGCCTCTTAGTTTCTCAGTTGGTAGATGATGTCATCTCATCTCCGACGGAAATGCTTCTGTTCTGAAAGCGCAGGGAGAGGCTCTGGTATTAAGGCCAGCTTTGTTTTGTTCCACACACTTGGGGGAAAACAACTTTTATTTTGGAGCTATTTACTGTCTGAAAATATCTTTGTTTCAGTTTTCTCCTCTTTTGAGGCCAGATCATTTCCCCCTCTGAAGTTTGCCTTTTTCACACTTCTCAAAATTAGATTGACGTTTTTTCTCTTCTACATTCTCTCCTTCCTCTCAGTAATGAATGTTGGTCCCCAGTGGTTCATTAGTAGCGAGCAAATTTATGGAGAGTCACAGTGGTGGTTTGCCAGGTGACTAGAAACCAGCCCCTCCAGTATCTTTTTCACAGAAAACACAAGTTAGGGTGGGGCCAAGGACCAAAATGGAGTGCTTCCTAAGAGTAGTCCAGAGTGACTCAGGAAAATTTTCTGTGACATGGTGTGATGAGTCAGCTTTATATTTTAGCAAGAATTGATTGGATTGTTTCCACTTTGGTACTTGCCTGGTTCAGCTGTTTTGAAATTATTTTAGTAACATTAAAGATTTCCCAGCTTGTTTTCATAACTTAGAGGCTAGATCGTTTATATTTTCCAAGTCTTGGCATTCAGGAGATATGCTGAAATTAAGTATCCCTATTGTATAGGAGAGTATTGATATTCTGAAGGATATGAAAGAGAAACCTGATTTTCGTGGAGAACCTCTTATATGTGCTGTTGTAGGCTTGTTTCAGGTTGCATAGGCATCTCAAAGTAATATGTAGTAGAGAAAAAGAGTGAGTGTATAGGAGTCATGCTTATTTGTAGCTTGGGATTGTCAGCAGCATTCTAGGTATTTTCACATTTTTCCTTCTAGTCTGTCTGTGCAGTGGCATAATATGATTGCAATGAGCTTGAAATTGTGTGTGAGGTGGCGAGTGTTGGTCTGTTTGTGTGGGACTGTTGAGTAGTGGTTTACTGGGAAAAATACGTTATAAAGCAGTGAGAATGACAATAAGCCACCCCTGTGTATCCCTTTTCTTTAATTGTTAAATTATCTATGTAATTATTTGTTATAGAAAATTTATATAGATAAGGAAAAATAGAAATTTAAAGTTAAAAATTAACCTAATCCCACTATCCAAGATAGTCATATTTTAACATTTTGGTATGTAATCTTTTGGAACTTTACTGTGTGTATAAATACATGTGAATTTATAGATGAGTTTTTTACAAAAGTAATTGTACTGTATAATTTTTTTATCTTTTTCCACTCAACAATTTATTGTGACATTCTATCCGTAAATATACATAAAAACAATGGTTATATACTCTTCCATTTTTTGACTACACCGTGATTTATATCACCAATCCCCTACTGTTTAGATTCTTTCCAGTTATAGTATCTATCCAGTTATAGTTATTATATACAATGCTGCAATGAATATCTTTGTATATACATCTTTGTCCACTTGACTAATTATTTTCTTAGGATAAAGTCCCTCTTTTGGATCAAATTGTACATATTTGTTTTTAAGGCTTTTTGCTAGTGGAAGACCCTCAAATAAAATATATATACATTCTTTTTTAAAAAGATAGAAACCTGCATGCAAAGGAGCATTATACCTGAAACTTTTTGTTTTTCCTTCTTCTGGCCAAAGTCTCCCAGTACATAGTTGTGTGTTCTAGTTGCAGATCCTTCTGGTTCTGCTGTGTGGGACACTGCTTCAGCATAGTTTGATGAACGGTGCTAGGTCCACACCCAGGATCCAAACCGGTGAAGCCCTGGGCCACTGAAGTGGAGTGTGCGAACTTAATCGCTTGGCCATGGGGCCAGCCCCCTATATCTGGAAATTTTTTGCCACTCGGAAATCCCTCCAGAGTCGAATGATTTGGGTTACAAATTTTGTGACCACTCCTGCAATTTTTCTGCCAGAACTTCTCTTTCTTTTGCTTTTTGGACATTTACCTAGAACTGCAAAAAAAAAATCATCTCACATTTCACAGTATGGTGCTGGGGATCATGCCAGCTCCTCTTTATAATTTTAAACTTTAGAGGTTTTTTTTTTTAAATGGGCTTATTCTGCTGTGAGTAAGTAGAACCCCAGAAGTAAGTGATAACTTTCTGTTTTTCCTCATCTAGGTTTCAACTTTCTGTGCTGTGGGGTCAACCGTAAGAGAGGTAGATCTGATGCATATCTGTGCTGAAGAAGCATGAGCTCCCTGCAGTAACTAGCAGCCAACTCCTCTTCCCCATAACAATTGCAGACTTTTTGAAGTGGTAGTGCATGGTCTTCTGGGAAGGCTGTGGATGTCTTAAGCATTATTTGACTTTAGCTCCCATTTCACTCTGCCCTCTCCAAAAAAGATGCTATCTTAACATAGAAGTATCTTTTCTCACAGTCCCACGGTATAATATGAATCAGTCAACTACCTTTTTGTCTCCTTTGAAATCCTCCCGTAACTTCATTTCTTTTTGTTTCAGTAAATGAATCTCAACTCTTTGTTTTCCCTTTCTGCTGCTTCTCTCATTTCCCCTGACCCTTCCCATCCTGTAGATGGGGTTTCATAATTCACAATGATAATAATAATTACTAGTACTTATAGAGCAGCATTCTATGTTAAGTGGTCTACATGACTTACCTTATTTAATTCTCATAACAACTCTGTGAATTACATGTTATTATTTCTCCATTTTATAGTTGAGGTAACCAAGGCCTAGAGAGTTTTAAACAACTTGTCCAAGGTTACCTGGTTAGTAAATGGTGGATCTAATATTCAAACCTAGCAAACCTAGGTGTTCTGATTTCAGAGTCCACATTCTTACCCACTATGCTGTTATTGTTCCCCTCACTAATCTGAAAGTCTGTATGTGAACTAACATGACTTTATAGCAGATTAAATATTTGTTGTTGAATGGGTACTGACTGAACCAGGAGTCCTTGGTGAGGGAGAGAATGGTACAGAAGGGAACTTCCCCTTCTGACCTTAGCTATCCTAAAAAGCAAGAAAATTCTGAGCTCCTCCATGCATAATATGTGGAGTTATTGATCATTCTTTCAGAAAATATTTTAGAAGTTAGTGAGGACTTATTCCAAGGTAACTGATGCTGCAGTCAATTCCAAGATCCCTAAAACAAAACAAACAGGAGAGTTTGCCTATCAGATGCCCTCTTTTTGTCCATTGCAAATTCGGTAGTCATAAACCTTATGCTTTTAAGCAGAGCAAGTCATGGTTCGGCATACTCCAAAAAGAAAACTCCAATCTGAGATGAATGGAGCTCTTTCTTTTCCTCTGTTAAAGTTGTTGATGTCTTATTACAAAGACAAGAAGATACTTTCTACTACTACCTTAAATCTGTAAAACTGTGAAATTGCTCTTTCAAGTATTGGACTTGAAAGACAATTTCTGCTCCTCTAGCATGCTGGCATTGTCTGGTTCAGAACAAGGAATCTCATTAAAAGAAGTGAAACGTACTTTTCCATTATTTTTGCCAGTGACATTGGTGACTGTTGCCAGGGGAGTAGAGTGTCATTATTGTTAACTTCATTGAGAGGAACTAAAGAAGGAGGACTCTGCTCTTAACCCTCTATCAGTGAAAATGAAAAATAGATTTCCTTGTCCCAAGGGAAGGGGGTACCTCAAGGGAAGAAAACAGGTGTTCATATTGTCCATTTGTGGTTTGAAGATTTATTTAGCTTCTTAGAGGGTTCTTGTTCCCTTGGTGATTTCTTTTCCCCCTGGATTCTAGGTAGCCAGGAAATTGAAGGCAAAAGATGGTTTAGAAGAGAGTTGAATTGGGGGTTAGGAATGAGGAATGTGGATTTAGGAATTCTGGCTCTTTTACCGCCTTTGCTCTGTGATTTTGAGCATCTCTCTCTCTCTTTTTTTTTAGATTTTATTTTTTTCCTTTTTCTCCCAAAGCCCCCGGGTACATAGTTGTGTATTTTTTTAATTGTGAGTCCTTCTAGTTGTGGCATGTAGGGTGCCGCCTCAGCATGGCTTGATGAGCAGTGCCATGTCTGCGCCCAGGATTCGAACCGGTGAAACCCTGGGCCACTGAAACAGAGCCCAAGAACTTAACCACTCTGCCACGGGCCAGCCCTGAGCATATCTCTTATATTCTGCTCTTACTTATGAAAAGAGGATTAGACTAAAAATCTCAAAGCCTGTCTAAATTCTTTTTCCCCCGAGGAAGATTCACCCTGAGCTAACGTCTGTTGCCAGTCGTCGTCTTTTTTTTCGCTAGAGGAAGATTAACCCTGAGCTAACATCCATGCCAGTCTTCCTCCATTTTGTATGTGGGATTCCTCCACAGTATGGCTGATGAGTGGAGTAGCTCTGTGCCTGGGATCCAAACCTGTGAACCCAGGCCGCTGGAGTGGAACACATGGACCTCTAACCATTTGGCCATGGGGCCAACCCCTGAATAATTTTTTTTTTTTTTTAAAGATTTTATTTTATTTTTTTCCTTTTTCTCCCCAAAGCCCCCCAGTACATAGTTGTATATTCTTCCTTGTGGGTCCTTCTAGTTGTGGCATGTGGGACGCTGCCTCAGCGTGGCTTGATGAGCAGTGTCATGTCCACGCCCAGGATTCGAACCAACGAAACACTGGGCCGCCTGCAGCGGAGCGCGTGAACTTAACCACTCGGCCACGGGGCCAGCCCCCTGAATAATTTTTTAATAATATAAATGGTTATTGATTTTTTAGTCTGAAAATGGGCAAGTAGCTTCACTTCTGGCCAGAGGAGCTGAGGTCTCAACTTGTTCTATTTAAAAATCAACTTTCATTAACAGCTATAGATTTCAACCAGATTGAGCGTGAGCAGGCAAGAATAAAAAAAAAAATTCCCCAAGTGAGTACACCCTTGTTTCTCTAGATCTTTTACATTTTCTTCTTTTCGCAGAGGAACTAGGGCTCAAAATCACTGTGGTTGCCTCTGTCATCATCTGTTGACCCACTCACAATAAGTTATTTGAACCATTATTTTTTCTGATGCAGCCTGTTTGTCATAGCTTTAGTTTTTGCTTCCAAAGTAGAGCAACATTAGCTAGTTGTTTAGAGTGCTTCTTGGTCCAGCGTCTCTTAGTAAGTAGGAGTCCCATAGTCAGGAAGAAAACAAACTATGGACATGAATTGGGAAGTCAGTATAAGAGAAAAACAGTTTCACTCTTAGAACTTGATCCTTGATGCTTAACTTTTACCCGAGAAAACCTCTCAAAATAGACCAGCTCAATGAAGAAGATGGATTATCCAGACTTGCTTTCTTTTATTCTGTGGTATTTTTCCCTAAACTTCTAATTATAGAATTTTTCAGACATACACAAAGTAGAGAGAATAGTATAGTGAACCTCCATGTACACGTCAGCCAATTTCAACAGCAATGTTTTGCCAATCTTGTTACATCTATTCTTCTCCATTCTCCCACCTCTAGCCCTTGGAATATTTTAAAGTAAACCCAGTCTTCATGTGATTCCAGCCATAAATACTTCAGAGTATATTTCTCCAGATAAGGACTCTATTTTGGGGAGAGAGGGAGGGAGGGAGTTGTAGCATAACCACAGTAGCTTTGTCACGTGTACAAAACTAACAATACAGTCATGGAATGTTTTGGTCAATAATGGGCCGCATATACAATAAGATTAGTGCCGTATAGGCTAGGTGTGTAGTAGGCTGTACCATCTAGGTTTGTGTAAGTACACTCTATGATGTTAGAACAACAACGAGATTGCCTAACGATTCATTCCTCAAAACGTATTCCCATCCTTAAGTGATGCCATGCCTGTAGTTACAGGATTTCTCCTCTTGAGGCTCTTGTCTCAGAAGTCTTTTTAGTTTCTTTTCTAATCAGCATCCAGACAAGTTTCACACATTATATTTGGTGGATATGTCTCAAGTCCTTAATTAAAACAGTTCCCACATAGTGTGGTATTGTTTTGAGGGCCAAACGAGATATGTTTGTAAGCTTTTTTTTTTTTTAAAGATTTTTTAAATTTTTCTCCTTTTTCTCCCCAAAGCCCCCCGGTACATAGTTGTATATTTCGTTGTGGGTCCTTCTGGTTGTGGCATGTGGGACGCTGCCTCAGTGTGGTCTGATGAGCAGTGCCATGTCCACGCCCAGGATTCGAACCAACGAAACACTGGGCCGCCTGCATCGGAGCGCGCGAACTTAACCACTCGACCACGGGGCCAGCCCCATGTTTGTAAGCTTTTAAAGTGCTTTACAAATATAAATTGTTTGGTCAGTGGAGAGAAATAACTTTTCCAAAAACCTATCAGTATTTCAATTTAGTCTTATAGTCAGCATTAAGGAGAAATAGGAGAATGTGGAGATGCCCAAATGATGAAGAAAAAAGAAATACTGTGAGTTCCTCCAGGTCAGGAACATATAACTGTGCCTAGCATAATTCCTGACACATACAGATGATCAATAAATAGTTGTTGAATAAATCAGTGGAGAGGGGAAGCAGAAATAATTCAGCAGGGCCGGCCTGGTGGCATAGTGGTTAAGTTTGTGCCCTCCACTTTGGTGGCCCTGGGTTTGCAGGTTTGAATCCCCAGCATGGACCTAGCACTGCTGGTCAAGCCACACTGTGGTGGCATCCCATACAAAATAGAGGAAGATTGGTGCAGATGTTAGCTCAACAACAATCTTTCTTAAGCAAAAAGAGGAAAGTTGGCAACAGGTGTTAGCTCAGGGCCAATCTTCCTCACACACACAAAAATAATAATAATTCAGCATTGAACTGGTGCTGAGATGTGTTAAAATTGAGTGAATGAGAAGAAGCTGGCCCAGGACTTTCTCTATAGCATTTATAGTCAAGCTGTCAGCCTCTATACCCCGCCTTGGGTAATGTGCTCTCCTCTCTTGTAACACATGCCACATTTCCTAGTGTGGACTGAGGATAATGTAGGCATTTTAATAATAATCCTTCAGAGTTTTGGCTTATACGGGAAGAGGCAGGTTCCAAATTCCTAAGGAGAAAGCTTGTTCCCTGAGAAAAGTAAGTTTTAACATTGAAACTCTGCCTTATGCTCAGTTTCCCCACCCAAGAAAGAAGATATATATACAGATCATGAATATGGATTATAAGATGATACTATGTCCTTATCAAGGGTATTTTTCACAAAGGTACCCGAAAAACTTTCTGTTGACCAATGTCTAGTCTCATCTGTAGGATTGAATGTCATACACTTTAAACATTGGCTGTCTGGCCTTACCAAGCTGGGTGTTACCATGCTGACTTGGTCATCTTTTTTTTTTTCACTTCTCCTCCTCCTTCACTTTCCTCCACTCCTCCTCCTTTTTCTGTACTTATAGAATTATGAGGTGAACAGGTACAGTGCTGGTGGCTCTTCAGTCTCATGGACTTCTTCAGTAGACGATTTCTCATTGGTAGAGCCTTGGGCCAAGTGTCAGGCATTAGCAGACAGTACCTGGTTCTCTGAAATGTCTCTGCTCTTCGTCGGGTTTCTGGGCCAAGCTGATGTTACAGCAACATTGGTAAAATTCTCTAGATATTTTTCTCTTCCCTTCCATTCTTCTTTGGTAGGTTGAAGCTCTGATCTGTACCCTAGGGGCAAAACTTCAGGCAAGGAAGAGAGTAAGTCTTGGGTCCTGATTCTCCTTCTCCTTGGTCTGATGATGATTATTTAGATCCCAGTATCTTTCTGTTTTCAGCTCTAGTGTACTTGCGATTAATCCCAGCTTTGCAGCTGCAGATAGCTAAGCAGTTGGCACCAAAATTCCGCTGAGTGAAGTCCTCCCACCCTCATTCTGGTACTTTGCAAGAGTGTAGCAGCCCTAGAGCTACAAATTTGTGTGATAAAACTAGCAAAGGTAGCAGAGTAGAACTTGTTAGGGAGTAAGAAAGCCCCAACCTACCCTCTGCCTTGAAATCAGTTACCTGGTTTTTTTCCTCCATTGTTTATAACTTGACTTTGTCCAATGACTTCTTGCGTAGAGAGGAGGATATTTTTTAGGTGAGACTATCAGACTGTTGGACTGGATGCTGACTTTTCTCTTCTGCCAGATCCCTTCCAAACCTCTTCCTCTCCAGTAAAAGAGGATGCATAGGCTGGCCACTGACCAAGGAGTCCAGAATCAGTGTTTGTTTTCTCAAGTGGAAGCATACTGATTTCCTCATTGGGAACCACTGATTTGTAGTAGATGATATGTTGGGGGTGGCTGAGGAGTTTGGGAGGAGCCAAATACTTTGATATGCTAATTAGCATTTCATGAAGTTGTAGGTAATTGAACATTAAACCTTGCTGTGGGCCCAACTTTGCACTTGTGTTAGAAATCACACGTAAAAACATATGTGTATAGCGCTTTACAGTTTGTAAAGTACTTTGATTTAGCTTATCTCATCTAGTCTTTACATAAACATTCCAGTATAGGTTCCTCTTATTTTAGTTAAATATAGAAAACAATTTGCCTGATGTAACAGGAATTTGAACCCAGGTCTTCTGGTTTTTAAATAGCTCAGCATGTTGACCCTTGGCTAAAAGGTTGTAAGATACGAAAAGTTTTGACTATTTTTTGTTGTTGGACACCTTAAATTTTGCAGTAAGTCAGTAGCAGTTTTCGTCATAAATCTGAATCATCTTGGCTTATTGTTTCTTTGAAGCTTTAGCTTAGGGTTCCAGTCCTAATTTACCTAGTCTTTCACGTAGCTAAAGTCAACCTGATTAAAGATGAAGCATCCTATGAAAGGTGTAGGTTATTGGGCTCTGCTGTTTTCCCAGTTTTCTGGGTCATTTTATACAGCACATCTTCTAACAGCTAGATGACATTTCCCTTGCCTCTTTTTTGGGAAGAGGAATGAAAACCATCTGTTGCCCATTTTTTGCCATCCTGACTCACTATGGGGAAGGAAATTTGCTGCTCTGGTACCAGAAATACTTAGTCTGTGGCCTTTGTACCTCTAGGGGCTATTACAGCCTCTCCTCTGAGCCCAGCTATATTCTGAAATTCTCAGAGCTTTTGGTCATTTGTCTTAAACAATCATAATAGGAGCTTTACCTGATTGCACTTAATCACATGTGTTTCTCTTGCTGCGTCACCATTAAACCTTATTTATGGACTGGAACTGGGGTCTTCCTACTCAGGTATTAACTTATATTATTGAAGATCCACCTATTTTGACGACTCTTTCTAATTTTCTTTAATATGGCTAATATTTATTCCCTTTGAATTCTTTAGAGCTAGACTGAAACGATATATCAGTAGTCTTTGAAGATGAAGGCCAACATTCTCCAGTATGAAGGAGAGGAAGGTCTGTCTCCTTGAGTGATCATGTGTCTCTGATATGGTCATGGATGAAAGTTAGGGGGATGGCAAACCCTTAAGAACTGTTTTAACCTTTCAGAGTAGATTTTCTATACATACCATCTTTGAGTTCACTTTCTAAACATTCTTGATATCCTTCCTAAATTTAAATGGATAGAAGTCATAAATTATACCTATGAGATTTAACTACACACTTACACATCAGAACTGATTAAATATTTAGTAAGTAAAACTTACTTTAGTAGGTAAGTAAACGCCAGCAAAGCCATGTTGAGTTTACAGCAGAAATCAAGATGAGGATATAAGGATGCAGAATCAGTTTCTGCTTGCATGGAATGCTTTTTCATTACTTTGACATTGCATTTTCTCATCCTTAGCCTTCTCGTCTCCTTAGACCAACTCTTTACCTTTTTTTCTGAAGTAATTACTAGAGGAGTAAAGCACCATAGATATGCTCTAAAAGTTCTTATCTTTTTAGCTCTACAGGAAAAATTATTAATCAAGCCCCAGACTTTCCAGTGAGTCTTGGGTATCTCTTATCCTTCTTTTTTTCAGCCATGGTATCACTTGAGAGCCTCGGACTCTGATGGTTAAATGTATCAAGAACAGATATAATTCTCAGAGAAAATATAAACACTTGAGTAAGAAAAGGGTCTGGAACAAGAATGGAATATGTATAGGGGCTGTGTGAATATGGAGGAGGAAGAAGGAGGGACTTTTAGTCCTTATCCAAAAGGATCTGGTATCACAGAGATAGAGGCAGGAGCTCATTGTCAGGTTTAGTTTGACTCAAACTCTGATTGTTTCACTGTGATTGACAGAGATTATGTAAGTGTGTATGTACACACTTATGATTTTGTTTTGTTTATTTTTTAACAGCATCTGGAATCAAGAGACCCATGGCACCTGAGGTGAGTTTCATATTGATAAATAATAGTTCTGAAACTTTAATTCTGGGATGGAAGGATACCTGTTTATGACATATTTATTTTCCTCCTACTTGGATCTTGGAAGCTAGATGGGCTTCTACATCTCTTTGGTAAGCTAGAAATTATACAGCTACTCTTTTGTTGCAGTTTATTATGGATATTAGTAATAGCTCACATTTATTGAGCATTTTTTAAAATATTAAATGCAGTGTACCAGAGAGTAAGTAATGTATCTAAGTGCCGTTTATGGATATTCTTTTTTTCTTTCTTAAATTTTATTTTTCCTTTTTCTCCCCAAAGCCTCCCGGTACATAGTTGTGCAATTTTAGTTGTGGGTCCTTCTAGTTGTGGCATGTGGGACACCACCTCAGCATGGCTTGACAAGCGGTGCCATATCTGCGCCCAGGATCTGAACTGGCAAAACCCTGGGCCACCAAAGCGGAGTGCACGAACTTAACCACTTGGCTATGGGGCCGGCCCCAATATTCTTATTTAATCCTGCAAACAACTCCTATGCAGTAATTGTGTTGTTATCTGTTTTATAGATGAAGAAAGAGAGGATTAGAGATTCTATAGCTTGCCCAAGGTCACATAATAACTGGGATTAATAAGGCTGGCATTCAAACCCAGACAGTCCAACACTAAAACCCACTCTTGTTTTGCTCTTAGTGCCCTCCTGTTTGCATAGCTTTAGTGAATTTGAAGAACTCCTTTTAACCATAGAGAAGCTGTTAATTTCCTAAGTTTTTTTTGTCTGTGCAGAATATCTTCCATTTGCCTAACTTTCTTCTCATGGAGTAGTTCCCAGCCCTCCTCTTTTTTTTTTTTTTTGAGGAAGATTAGCCCTGAGCTAACATCTGCTGCCAATCCTCCTCCTTTTGCTGAGGAAGACTGGCCCTGAGCTAACATCCATGCCCATCTTCCTCTAGTTTATATGTGGGACGCCTGCCACAGCATGGCCTGCCAAGCAATGCCATGTCTGCACCCGGGATCCGAACTGGCGAACCTCGGGCCCCTGAAGCGGAACGTGCACACTTAACCGCTGCACCACCCGGCCGGCCCCAACCCACCCTTCCTCTTACTTCTTGCCTCTCTCCTGTGTTTTGCGAAGAGGCCTCAAAATGTGGGCCCTTTTGGCCTGGGATTTTAGGGTTTTCTCTCAAAACACCTTCCAAGATCTGTGAGGTTATATACTGAGGGTTTTCTGACACTAAGGGCCTTAGCAAGAAGAATAGAACTTGAATACCAGGGCCCTACGATCATGACATCCTGTTTCCACTAGTCTTTTTTCTTCTGGCTTAGTGACTTAATGAGTATTGATGTCATGAAGAATACCTTCATGTCTCTTGTGCTGGTGTCTTGGCTGTGGGGACTAGCCTTCTAGGCTCTGTTCTACTGGTTTTACTCCTTCCGTATTTCAGGGTCTGTCATGTGGGTGGAAAACAAATCCATATCACGATCTCAGGAATCTCTTCTGGGCACTGAGGCCCCTGTCTCAGAGGAGTCATCTTATTGCCTCAGCCTGGGCTTGCACTACTTCTGTTTGTCAGTGACTAGATTATTTCTGCTAGCAAATTCAGTTTAAGCAAAAAGTGTTCCAGTTGGGTTGAATGTTAGAGGGGTAGTAATTTCGGGAAGGAGACTGGTGAAAAAAGAAGGATTCTAAGCTGTCTTCCTTTTGTGAACTGAGGTTTATCCTTTTTTCTGGGCCTGCCATGTCCTACTTCTCCTGTTTCTCCTTTTCTTTGATGATACTCATTTTTATTTTCTATGTCATCTTTCTGAGGACCAGAGGTGAAATATGTGTCCTTTGGAATTTTCTTCTGTGTTCTTTTAGCCAGTTAATTCTTTGAGAAGCAACACTATAGTTGTGTGTTTGCATGGAGTGGGTCTTCTGAAGATTTTATGAAATGTTCTTAACCTAAAAAGGGTGTGGTGAGTGGTTTGTTTTGATGTACTGTTGGTACTTGGTAGCTCTGTGGTGTATTCCTTGGGAATCATATACTAATCTTGACTCTTCTTTTTCTAGGTGCCTTGTTCCTCTGGCATGCCCATCAAGAAAATAGGCCACCGAAGTGTTGATTCCTCAGGAGAGACAACATATAAAAAGGTGTGTCTGGGTGGAACCCTTTCATCCTATTCCAGGATGGGACAGTTCTGTCCCCTTGATATTTTTCACATACTACCCATTTCTTGATATCCCAAACCTTTGTACAACAGCTATCATGCAACTTGGACTTTAGAATTTACTTCACAAAGGGTAAACTGTCTCCTGTCTGTATATGTGTGTTTAAATGAGAATATTCTTTTTTTTTTTTTTAAATTTAAAATAATATTTTATTGAGGTCACGTTGGTCTATGACATTGTGTAAATTTCAGGTGTAGCTTATTATATTTCAGCTTCTGTACAGACTGCATCAAGTTCACCACCAAATGTCTAGCTTCCGTCTGTGACCATACGCAAGTGTCTCTTTACCCCTTTCACCCTCCCCCTGCCCCTTTCCCCTCTGGTAACTGTGAATCTCCTCTGATTATGCATATGTGTGTTTGTTTATCTTCCACATGTGAGTGAATTCGTACAGTATTTGCTTTTCGCTGTCTCGTTTATTTAGCTTAGCATAATACCCTCAGTGTCCATACATTATGTCGCAAATGGCACAACTTTGTCATTTTTTATGACTGGGTAGTAGTCCACTGTGTACATATATACCACATCTTCCTTATCCATTCTTCCACTGATGACCGCTTACCTTGCATGCAAATACTGGCTATTGTGAATAATGTGTCTATGAACATAAGAGTGCATATATCTTTTGAATTCATGTTTTCATGGGTTTGGATAGACACTCAGAAGTGGAATAGCTGAATCATAAAGTATTTCTATTTTAACTCTTTGAGATATCTCCAGAGTGTTTTCCCTGGTGACTGCCCCAGTTTGCTTTCCCACCAGCAGTGTACAAGGGTTCCTTCTTCTCCACATCCTTAAATGAGAATATTCTTAATAGACAAATCTGGTGTTGAATGCTATTTCTCTGTGCTGAAGAAATTGGGTTTCCCTGTTAGATATAAGCCCCTAAAGCCATTCTTCCTTGCTGCAGGTAAGCATGTCTCTTGAAGTCTTTCTATCTATCTTCTGGTGCTGGATGTACATAAAGTGAAGGCTGGATCCCACCCAGCCTGGTGATACAGAGATAGATAGCAGACTGAGTGTTTTTCTTTTCATCTCTGTGTGTGTGGTGTTTTTTTTTTTTTTTGGGAAAGATTATCGTTTCCGCTGGTGAATAGGGTCTAGAACATCTGCTTTTTTTTTTTAAAGATTTTATTTTTTTTCCTTTTTCTCCCCAAAGCCCCCCAGTACGTAGTTGTATATTCTTCGTTGTGGGTCCTTCTAGTTGTGGCATGTGGGACGCTGCCTCAGTGTGGTTTGATGAGCAGTGCCATGTCCGCGCCCAGGATTCGAACCAACGAAACACTGGGCCGCCTGCAGCGGAGTGCGCGAACTTAACCACTCGGCCATGGGGCCAGCCCCCCTAGAACATCTGCTTTTTGAGCTATAGATATCAAATGTATTGAGAATGTAGTAATAATTGTCAAGAATAGAAAATTGAACTGATGAAGGGAAAACAAGAGAGAAGCATCCTGGGGTGTTGCCAGTTCTTCCGTTCTGGACTAATTTGGAGATGCTTAGGCGTCCCAAAGGGCAGTGTTTAGCCTCCCATTTAGGCATCTGTACCTTGTCTGATAGAGGGTGTGATTTCTTGGAGTCCTGTTTCTGGCCCATGTAAATTTTTCTTGTGTCTCTTCTGTGCCTTTATCTGCATTATCCCAAGTAATGACTGACTCATTCTCAGTCAGGGGTCTGACTCTCCTCGGGAATGGTCTCTGAGGCTTATGTCAATTCGACAGACATTTATTGAGCGCTTTTTTTTTTTTTAAGATTGGCACCTGAGCGAACGTCTGTTACCAATCTTCTTTTTTTCTTCTTCTCCCCAAAGCGCCCCAGTACATAGTTGTATATTTTAGTTGTGAGTCCTTTTGGTTGTGCTATGTGGGACGCCACCCCAGCATGGCTTGATGAGCAGCGCCATATCTGCACCCAGGATTGAAACTGGTGAAATCCTGGGCCCCCGAAGCAGAGTGCGCGCACTTAACCACTCAGCCACGGGGCCGGCCCCTATTGAGCTCTTTTTATGTGCTGAACGTTGAGACAAAAACATGAGTTTCTAGTCTAATTGGAAAGGCAAACACTGAAAAACTAGTTATAGTTTTAATGCCCAATGAGGACTAAGTAGAAATACAAGTATTATCTGATGAGGGGTTAGGGATGAGGGAGATCATTTAGAAGAAAACTATCCAAATAGAACTTGCTACAGTGGTTAAAATGTGCTATATATGTGTGGTTCAATATGGTAGCCACTACTCATACTTGAATGTAGCTAGTAAGACTTGAAGAAAAGCATTTTTAATTTAATTTAATAACTTAAAATTAAATAGTCGAGTATGGCTAATGAGTACAGTATTGGACAGCATAGATCTAGATGATGTGTTATTTTCCCATGGAATTGGAACCCTGGACTGTGAGATTGGGGCTCCTGTATTTGTGTTTTGACCACAGTACGATCATTTTAAATCTAAGTACTTCTCTCAGAAATAATTTGAATCTTTCAGGCTTTCGTCTTCAGTTAGGAGCTTTTTTTGCCACTCTGTTTTCCATGGAACACCCAGTCAGGCCCTCCCTTAGAGGTCTGAAGTTCCTGTAGCTAGGTGGTCAATCAGAATATCAGTTAATTTTAGTTACAGTCTTTTTTTTTTTTAATGCATAGTTTTGTGGGGTTTTTTTTGAGGAAGATTAGACCTGAGCTAACATCTGCCACCAATCCCCCCTTTTTGCTGGCCCTGAGCTAACATCCATGCCCATCTTCCTCTACTTTATGTGTGGGACTCCTACCACAGCATGGCTTGCCAAGCGGTGCCATGTCCCCACCCAGGATCCGAACCAGCGAACCCCAGGCCGCCAAAGCGGAACGTGCAAACTTAACCACTGTGCCATCGGGCCCGCCCTAGTTAGATTCTATATTAGATGAATAAAATGTTTGCAGGGCCCCAGATACTCTGAGGGCAGGAATTTTTGGAGTGAGACCTAAGATTGTTCTCTCATGGGGCCAGCCCGGTTGGTATAGTGGTTAAGTTTGCATGCTCTGCTTCAGCAGCCTGGGGTTCACAGGTTCAGATTCTGAGTGTGGACCTACACACTACTCATCAAGCCATGCTGTGGCAGCGTCCCACGTACAAAAAATAGAGGAAGGTTGACACAAATGTTAGCTCAGTGACAGTCTCCCTCAAGCAAAAAGAGGAAGATTGGCAACAGATGTTAGCTCAGGGCCAATCTTCTTCACCAAAAAAAGGAGAAAAAAAAAGATTGCTCTCTCAATATAGTACATAGGAAGGACAACCTGTCTAGCTGAGGCTGGCTTGGACAGTCCCACCCTTGCTACTCTTTATCTTCATGCCCTTCCAATCTTGCCAGGCTTAACTGCCATGTAAAGCATGGAGATGGGGAAACTGGTTTACCCCAGTTTAGTCTGAACTACTAGAAGGACATTTGCTTTTGAGTGCTCCTTCTGGCTCTTCCGTCTTGAGTTTTTATTGCTATGATCAGATTTAATAGTAGAAACTTTCATTCTCTTGTTTCTCAGACAACCTCATCAGCCTTGAAAGGTGCCATCCAGTTAGGCATTACTCACACTGTGGGGAGTCTGAGTACCAAACCAGAGCGAGATGTCCTCATGCAAGACTTCTACGTGGTGGAGAGTATCTTCTTCCCCAGGTACAGAGGTTACTGTTCAGGGGAGTGTCCTGGAAAGAACAGCTTTTTCATATCAACCAATTTTAGGGGTTCAGGTCTAATTCAAGCTTGTGTCCAGTCCTTAACCTGATCTTAATCAAGATGATGTGGGACTGGAGAATTTGGAGAGCAGATGCTGTCCTTTGGATGCTTCCATGAGCCTCTAGCCTGTGGAGTAAGCCGTAAAAAACAAAACAATTCAGTGCATTGGGTAGGAGGCAGTGTGATTCCCTGTGCCCAGGTCTTAATCCCCGTATTGTGCCTTTGCCCCACTAAGTAACTGGCTCACCTAATCCCTCTGGTTCTCTCAGGAGGGGTATATTGACCTGCCTCTGGGTGACTCTGAGTGTCTTCCCAGGGTAACTCCCTGGTTGACAGGGACTGGTAAGTTACGGCTGCTTCTCTTTAACCCCACAGTGAAGGGAGCAACCTGACTCCTGCTCATCACTACAATGACTTTCGGTTCAAGACCTATGCACCTGTTGCCTTCCGCTACTTTCGCGAGTTATTTGGTATCCGGCCTGATGATTACTTGGTAAGCTTCCAGATCTCAGGACCATGTGAATCTAGTATCTGAGGGGTACTCCCAAAGGAAGACTCCCACGGTCTTGCTCTAGTTTTTCTTTAGAGCAGAGTTGCATCTGTACTTGATTTCGGATTGGGCAGGCCCTGGTATCTCTGAACTTCTTGTTCTCTTCTCTCTGGGCCCCAGTACTCCCTCTGCAGTGAGCCACTGATTGAACTCTGCAGCTCCGGGGCTAGTGGCTCCCTCTTCTATGTGTCCAGCGACGACGAATTCATCATTAAAACAGTTCAACATAAAGAGGCGGAGTTTCTGCAGAAGCTGCTGCCAGGATATTACATGGTGAGGCGAAGAGGATTGCTGGCTGCCTGTGCTGCCTGCTTCACTCCTAGACAAGGCTGGGGAGGCTGGCTTCAGTGGGGCAAAACAATGCCAGTGCTTCTGTCTTAAGAACATAGTTCATTTTTGTGCTTTTTGCCCCATCTCTTTTGCCTATTTATGGCTAAAAGGGGTTTTGTTTATCTGTCCTGTCTTAAATTTTATTTGGCTTAGGCCATCCTGCCCAAAGGCAGAATTAAATGATGATTTTGTTTTCCATTCTAGATTGGGGAATGAGGTTGTTTACTTACCCTGCTAGTACTCTCTTCAGTCTTACTCTGACTGATTGCTCTTGGAGGTTCTGGAGATTTTAGAGAACTCTCTTTTGCTTCCCATCATACCCGCAAGAATGTACTATACCGAGGGCGAAGAGTTAAGACTTTTTCCACGCTGTCTTATCTTAAACCTGTCTGAAAGACTGTATCATACGTTCACTATCGTGACTGGTTACTATATTGGAGAGTCTATGGCTCAGCTTGGTGGAGATCCCATCATTGAGACAGATGTATTGGGAAATTTTAAATAAATATAGTGTGGGCTTATAGACAGATTGTACCTGAATCCCTTGTAGCAGATATAAGTGGCAACTTTTGCCCTTGAATTTCACTGAAAATCAACCAACTTGCTCTCCTAATTCTTTTTTTACTTTCGTACCCTCAGAACCTCAACCAGAACCCTCGGACTTTGCTGCCTAAATTCTATGGACTGTACTGTGTGCAGGCAGGTGGTAAGAACATTCGAATTGTGGTGATGAACAATCTCTTACCACGGTCTGTCAAGATGCATATCAAATATGACCTCAAGGGCTCAACCTACAAACGGCGGGCTTCCCAAAAAGAGCGAGAAAAGCCTCTCCCCACCTTTAAAGACCTGGACTTCTTACAAGACATCTCCGATGGTCTCTTTTTGGATGCCGACATGTACAATGCTCTGTGTAAGACCCTGCAGCGCGACTGTTTGGTGAGTTTGTCGTATTTCCTTCTCTGCTAGACACCAAAAATCTCAATCACTAAAACAACTTGGTTGTTCTTAGGCATCAAATCTAGAGATGGGACTCTCTTCTTTAGCTCCATATGTCCTAGACTTCGTTTAAAATAACTTTTACATTAGATCATTGCTGTATCCTTACATTTTTTTACTTTCTCCCTATTTATCGTCCCCAATGTGGCTTCATTTCCTTCTCTGCCTATCCTGGGCCTCATAATCATAGATTCTCCTTATTTTCATACCAGCACTATCCTTCCTCAGATCTTGGTCCTGCCTGCCAAATCCAAATTTATGTCTTGGAAGCTGAAGTGCTGCTGAAGAAAATCACACAACTGTATATACTGGCATCTCTACAGACTTATGATATCCAACTCCATTTGGGCCCTGAGTATTGCTTATCAATACATTTCCTGTTCTTCTCAGCAGAGATTTCAGATGATTGACACTCTCTTCAAATCATTTTCTCACTCCCATCCCCCAGCCTTGTTTCTCACCAAACTACCTTAGCTTTCTATTTTGTTCCATCCCTTTGTCCTGCCCCATCACCAGTTTATAAACATATCTGCACATACCATCCTTAGTCTCCGTTTTTTCCAACTTGGTGGCTTATTCCAGGTCAATCCCCTTTGTGCTCTACGTCCCATTCCTCCTTTTTCTTTAGGATCCTGCTTCTTAACTTGCTTCCTTTCCCTCCTCTGGCTCTAGTCTCTACTGATTGTTTTCTTTCTACACACAAACAGGCTTATCTCTTCTATCTTAAGGTTAGGTGGATTCTTTTCAACATCTTCATCTAATGATGCTTCTATCTCTCCTTTTCCTTTCTCTTCTCCTATTCCTACCTCAACCCACCGTGTCCTGGCTTTTGCTCTTACCACTTCAATTGAACTGCTCTCCCCAGTGACTACTTGATGCCAAATAGAGAGTGCTTCTTAGTCTTTGCTTGAATTTTCTGCAGCTTTTGACAGTTGACTATTTCGACTTTCTTAACAAGTCTTCTCTTCGGTTTTGTTACACCTTTCCCTACTGATTTTTCTACGTTTCTGATAGTTTTTTCTCAAACTGCTTTTGTAAGATCATCTTCCTCTACTCAGTCTGTAGTGTTGTCCCTCCTTGCCCTTCTTTGCTTACTCTACATCTGCTTCCAGGATAATGCCTATTTTTGTTGGTTGTAAGGACTAGAGAGTTAGTGGAACAGAGAGCATTTTTTATAACTATACATAAGAATCAGTCCTGTGCTCTCGTCATCCCTTACTTCACCCACCCAGCAAAACACCCTGAGTTGAGCTGCACCACCAAAGTGAGCTACTGGAACTAGTGGGAGTATCCCCTCTCCCACCCTAATCTGGGGTGGAAAGAGGGTTGAGAACTATACGATACAATCTGGGCTCCTTAATAAGACACATGTCACTGTCAGGCCGGTTATTTTCTAGCCCCTACTAACTGCTCTAATCTGCCACACCTATCCTTTGCATTTTGTTCTAGCAATACCAGATTTCACCTCCCTGCATGTAACATGCTGTTTTATGCTTCTAGGCCTTGCAATAGTCTTTCCTTCCTTTATTTACTTGGACTTAATTTCTCTCTAATTTATCCTTCATAAACCTATTTATGTATTACTTCCTGACCTCCACTATACTACTTCTCAATCATGTAAGTGCTTCTGTTGTTGCACATATTAGACTGTATTGTATTTATTTTTACATTTGTTCCCCATCCTTAATTACAATATCCTTGAGGACAGAAACTCTCTTGAGTATCTTGGTATCCCCATAAGCAGGCACAATGCCTACAGATGGTAGGGATTCAGTAAATATTGAACTGACTCTGCTCTGTCACAAAGTGTACTTTTACCAGACCTCCTTGTGGGTCTTTATAGCACTCATATGTATTCTTTGTTCCCTTGAGAATATAATGCTCTTTTCATGAAGAGATACAAGGAAAGAACAAACAAAGAGGATCTTGTGGCCTAGGCTGTGGTCTAATTTGTATTTATTTAAATGAAAGAAAGCTGAGGGGACTATAAATGAATAGAGACCAGAGGAGGTTAATACATCCTTTTCCAAGGAGTAGTAGGAGCAAAAGATAATCCTATGGTTAGCCCTGGAGGTTCACTTTCAAGAATAATTGGATCAGGAAAGCTGTGAGATCCTGAAAAAAAAAATTCTCATGCCTCCCAAGGCTCATATCATGCTTTTTCATTCCATTAGGTTCTGCAGAGCTTCAAGATCATGGACTATAGCCTCTTGATGTCAATCCATAACATAGATTATGCACAACGAGAGCCCTTAGGCAATGAAGCACAACACTCAGTTGACACTCGCAGACCAGCCCCGCAAAAGGCTCTCTATTCCACTGCCATGGAATCTATCCAGGGCGAGGCTCGGCGAGGTGGCACTATGGAGACTGATGACTAGTAAGTAGGTTCAGGGGCATGAGGAAGGAGAGCATATTGATTCAGCAGTTAGGTCAGTAGCATTAATGCTTACAGAACCACAGAATGAGCTTTCTTAAAAGTGTGAAAGCAGGGGTCGGCCCCGTGGCTGAGTGGTTAAGTTTGCGCACTTCACTTCGGTGGCCCAGGGTTTCCACCAGTTCGGATCCTGGGCCCAGACATGGCACTGCTCATCAATTCGTGCTGAGGTGGTGTTCCACATAGCGGAGCCAGAAGGACCTACAACTAGAATGTACAACTATGTACCTGGGGGGCTTTGGGGAGAAGAGGAAGGGAAAAAAAAGAAGATTGGCAAGAGATGTTAGCTCAGGTGCCAGTCTTTTAAAAAAAATAAATAAAATGAAAGGAAGATGTTTTAAATTAGGGATTTGTAGTGCATCTGGAAGGAGAGCTATTCAAAATTAAAAGACTTTTAAAAAAGTACACTCAGAGTCTTAACATATGTCTGTACATTGTATTAGAATTTCATCAGAAAGAATTTTATTATAGACTTTTTTATGGAAGGCATCTTTCTTATCAATGTGGATCTATCAAGGAAGTGTAGTTATTGAAGTACCATAAATGTCTTTTAGGTGGTTTCATTTTTAAGGTATCCTTTAATATGACTCTCAAGAAGAGTGTCTTAGAGGACATAAATTAAAATATGAAAGTACTGAGGAAGTTTAGAGTTAATTGAGGGAGCATTCCAAAAATTGCTGAGTAGGGGTGATTTTAGATTCTCTTTGGTGGAGTTGGGGTGGGAGAGGCAGGCAAATGAGATTTGGAGAGAAAGAAGTTAAAATACATATTCCAGAGTGGTTCTTGGGGTTGGAGGAAGGTTCTCACTCTTCCCCAGTTTATGGAAGATGAGACAGTTATGTTTAGGTCTCAGTTCCATGCCCTGATTTTGACTCAGTTTCGAAGAAGCCTCTACCTGCTAGCCACAAGATTTTCTTACTCTTTTCTTCTTGTCTTCCCCAGTATGGGTGGCATCCCTGCCCGGAACAGTAAAGGGGAAAGGCTGCTGCTTTATATTGGGATCATTGACATTCTACAGTCTTACAGGTGAGAAGCATATGGATGGATCCCAAATTCGGGGGCAGAGTGGATGCAGATGACCATTCACATTTCTCTTTTAGATGGATTTGTCACCAGATTCTTCCTGGAGAAAAAACAATGAGTTGCAATCTGACTGCTTACCTCATTAGCTTTCAAATGTTGGTTTATTTCCTTGATTTTCCCTGTCTCCTGGCTTCCTTACCCTGTCACCTCCCCAAACATAATGTATACCTCTGTGGAAAGCTGACTTAGTCCTCAGAAACGCCAGGGTAGAATATGCCATCTGTCTGGCTCTTTGTGAAAAACCTGTGAGATGAGTCACTCCACATAGGGATACACCTGGAAACATGTTCCCTTTTTCATGGAGGAAAAACAAATGGGTCACTGTGTTCTGTGAAAAGTATTACCCTGAGGAACTGAGTCAATGAAGTGGTGGTGAAGGAGGAGCTGGAAATGTTAGACCCCAGTTTTGCTCCTGTAAGATTTCAGGTACTAATGAGGACTGGACAATACTTGATTTACGGATTTAGAGTATTATCATTCACTTTTTAACTCCCCTTCTTCCAGGCTTGCCCATCTATCCCTGTAGCTTTCCTTTTACAATAAATATTGTTGTCTCTGACTTGCCAGGGACATATTAACTACCCTTTTCCCGTTGGGGGATAATTGACTTACCTGGAAACAGCTTTGCTCTCCGTGCTGAATAAGCACTACCACGGCTGTTCTTTGGAAAGCCGGTGTAATGGTGGGTGTGCTTGCCTAGCTTCTGTCTTTTTAAGTTTCTCTATTACCATTGCCCCTTTAACTCCCTAGAATAGAAGACTATAAGGTCATTCATTTAAAAACTGAATGTGTGATATACGTTTTCCTTGGCAGGTTTATTAAGAAGTTGGAGCACTCTTGGAAAGCTCTGGTACATGATGGGGTGAGTAGCAGTCAGCTAGAGGCTCTCCTTTTTCTCCTCTCTCACATCTGATTTGCATCCTCAGTTTCTTCTTTCTTTCTTATCTTATTTTGTTTGTGAGTTCTACCCTTCTGCTAGGGTCTCAGCCTAGGGGAAAATGGCCCTTGAAATAGAAGGTCCACTTCCTGGGCCTCCTCCTCTCTAACTCTGTAGCCGTTTCTTTTGCTCTGCAGGACACTGTATCGGTGCATCGCCCAGGCTTCTATGCTGAACGATTCCAGCGCTTCATGTGCAACACAGTGTTCAAGAAGATCCCCTGTAAGTGGCTTCTACCAGATGATCCCCCAATGGCTCCCTTAATCCAAGAAATGGGGGGCAGGACACTTCTGTCAGGGAACTGCCAAGGCCAGAGGCCTCTCTTGCTCTGCCTACATCCTGTAAGAGCTGCTGCCCGTCCTTATGTCAGTCACTGTATCCCAGTCGTTTCTGAGTTGCTGCTTTCCCCCTGGCTCTCCCTACATGTGTCGTTGAGGTGAGGGGTATTTCTGGGAAATTGGTGGGGTTGCAAAAAAATGTGTAGTTGTGGGTGTACAATCCGTGCCACAGGATAAGATAGGCAGAACTAGACTTTTATGGACAGAGATAGGCAAGGTTATTGCCACTGTTCTATTTTCCATCCATATCCCCAATGCCAACAAGTTCTCGGACTAGGATCAAATGGTTGGAGAAGCATTTACTGATTTCTGTTTAGCAGGTGTTCTTAGTCTCTTCCCTCAACTTTCTTGGTTGGGAAGTGCCAGTGTTCTTTCCAAACTTTCCATGCTGCTGCTGCTGGCAAATTTCAACTCCTCTTTCCCGTCTCCTCATCATAGGCATCAGTTGTCCCTCCGTGAGGCAGAGAAGACTTCGGCATGCCAGGACAGTCTTAAGACACATGGGAAAATCCTTTCAAAGTCTTTTCACAGTCATGTGTAAACAAGTATAAAGTATCATTATAGTGCTGTTTGTGTAAGTGCTATGAGGATGTAGAGTGAAAGCGTCAGCTGTCAGGTTTAACTGAAGGAAACTGTTAAAGAACAAGGGAATTACGGAATAAGAGTGGAAGCAAAGCAATCAAGCTTGTGTGTAGGTGGGGAGAGATATGTGTCCCCTTTCCTCTAGGTTTTCTGCTTTCCAAAGTGAAGTGAACTGAGAAACCCCCTCCTCTGAAGAGTAGTTTACAGGGCTCATCCTTGTTGGCATTAACCCTTCTTCCTGCTTTGCAGAACAACTTTGGGTTTGTGTTGGGGATGCTAGCAATTTGTATCTATATCTTGGTGACGGTTTCTGAGGTGGGTGCTAAGTAGGCTCTCTCTTTGCCTTTTGAAGTGAAGCCTTCTCCTTCCAAAAAGTTTCGGTCTGGCTCGTCTTTTTCTCGGCGATCAGGCCCCAGCAGCAACTCCTGCGTTACTTACCAGCCATCGGTCTCTGGGGAACACAAGGCACAAGTGACAACAAAGGCGGAAGTGGAGCCAGGTCAGCGCCAGGGCTGGGGTCCCCATGTGATTGGGTACTCCCCTCCCTTCTTCCGAGCCCTGTTTTATCTGCCTAGGGCGTCTACTCCCCCTTCCTGTCCAGGAAGAGCCAAGTTGCAACATATTTTTCCCTGTATTTCCCCGACCCCATTTTCTCTTCTTTTTTATTTATTGATTTTCTTCCCCTTTCTTTTTTCCAGGCGTCCACTTCGGTCGTCCTGATGTTTTACCTCAGACTCCACCTTTGGAGAAAATCAGTGAGGTCTCGACTATTCCTGACCCCTATCTCTCACCTGTAGTTGGAGAGACTTTGCAAATGCTAACTACAAGGTTGGTTCCTTGGCCCCTTTCTCCATATAATCTTGTCATCTCTCTCTTCAGGTCCTTGGGAGCCTCCATAATTCTGTTTTTTCCTGAGATCATTGTTTGTCTTCTGCTCTTCACTAGATTTTTGCAGGTTTACTGTCCTAAGAGTTCATCTTTAGTGATTTCGAAAAGTGTGTCAACATCTCTGCATCTTTAGGGGGTGGGAGGAAGCCTTTATGTGCAGACTTTTCTGATACTCAGTCAAAATACCCCAACTAACCCTTCATCTCCTGGTGTGTTAAGTGAGAATTCTCAGCTTAGGATTTAAGGCTGAAAAGATTCCTGGGCAGTGAAGACAATTAATAGTCAATTGTTAAAGGATCCAGTGTAAAGCTTGTGATTTAATTTTGTTACCTGATGTGTTAATTATCTATGCCATTATAATAAATTACCCCAAAGCTTAGTAGGTTAAAATAACAAACATATATCATAGTTTCTGTGGGTCAGGAATCCAGGTGCAGTTTAGCTGGGTCCTCTGGCTCAAGGTCTTTCGTAAGGTGGTAGTCAAGCCGTTGGCCAGGGCGAGGGTCTTGTCTGAGGGCTCAACTGAGAGGCTTCACTTCTAAGCTCATTTGTGTGGTTATTGGCAAGATCCAGTTCATTGTGGGGTGCTGGACTGAGGGCCTTTTCCTTGCTGGCTGTTGGCTGGGGGCCTCCCTCAGTTCTTTGCCATATGGGCCTCTCCATAGAACAATTCAGAACATGGCAACTGGCTTCCCTCAGAGTAAGCAAGTAAGAGTGCATGCACCTAAGCAGAAGGCACACTTTAGGTTACTTATTGTAACCTAATCTCAGAATTGACATCCTATCACCTGTACTGCATTCTGTTCACTAAATCTAGCCCACACTCAAGAGGAAGGGATTACACAAGAGTGTGAATACTAGGAAGCAGAGATCATTGGAGGGCTAACTTAAAAGTTGCCTATCACAATCTGCCCTCTGGCCCCCAATGATTCATATCCCTCCATGTGCAAAATACAGTCATTCCCTCCCATGGTCTCTGAAATTTAGTCTCATCCTATTACAGCATCAGCTCAAAGACCAGAATTTTGTCTTCTAAATTAGGTCCAGGTTTGGATGAGTTCCCCAAGTGTTGTTCCTTGAGTACAGTTCCTCTCAATCTGTGGGCCTGTTAAACTAAAGAGACAAGCTATTTTCTCCCCACACACCCAGCATACAGTGGTGAGTCAGACATTAGATAACCACTACATACCTTCCTGTACAAAAAGAGAAGAGTGGAGGCACAGGAGTCACTGATCTGTAGCTAGTCCAAAATGCAGCAAATGTTGGAGTTTCTTTGATCAGATCTCAAAATGTGGGACTAATTCCACATGGTTCTTGGTTCCACCCTTATTACTCTTGGTTTTGCTATCTGAGTCGTCCTTTTTCATGAAAGCTAGAATGTGTTTGCCAGCTGAGTAGTTTCTCAGCCTGCTTCTTGCCAGTAGAATTTTGGGGGTCCAGTGGTCTGTTTTCATTTTGCACTGTTTCCCATTCAGTCCAAGCTGGTAATATTTTTGTTGATGTAATACCCTCAAAGATTTTGTGGGCTTCCTGTCAATCTCATTGGGATTCACTCCATGAGACAAAAGCCACAGCCACAAATACCTTCTTGATAAGCCCTGTGCTTCCTAGAGACCCTATTAAGTTGAGAGGATCTGAGACATTCCCTTAATCTTTTTGAATGGCTTTTTGTATGACTAAATAGTACTCTAAGGCACCAACTTCGATTTTTCTGAGGTCTTAAAAAATGTTATACAGTTATACCTTTGGCTTCACCTTTAAACTACATTTTTCTGGCAGTGCCTTGATTTTTTCCTTGCTTAGAAAGCCATTTCTTAATTTTAGTCTTGTTTGCTATCTGGAGAGGCTCAGAATTTTCAAAACCACGTTTCAGCTTTCACTAAAACTCTCCTTAAAGCCTACTTCCCTCTTCCAAAGCCACTTCCACATTTTAGATTTTTACTATAGCAGCATTTCACTTCCAGGTATAAAAATCTATATTATCTATTGTTGTGTAACAAATTACCCCAAAACTTAGTAGCTAAAAACAACAGATATTTATTATTTCGGATTTTATATGGCTTAAGAATCTAGGTGTGGCTTAGCTGGGTGCCTTTGGCTCAAGGTCTCTCAGGTGGTTGCAGTCAAACTGTCAGCTGGGGCAGTGGTCTCATCTGAAGGCTTACCCAGGGGAGGGTCAGCTTCCAAGCTCACTTACATGGTTGTTGGCAAGATTCAGTTCCTTGCAAGGCTGTTGGACTGAGGGCTCAGTTCCTTGCTGACTGTTGGCCAATGGTACTCCCTCAGTTCCCTTGTCACGTGGTCCTCTCCCTAGGGCAGCTCACAGCATGGCAGCTAGCTTCCCTCATAGCAAACAAATGAGAGAGCATGTGCCAAGAGGAAGCTACAGTCTTTTTGTAACCTAATCCCAGAATTGACATTCTATCACTGATGCTGCATTCTGTTCACTAGAAGAAAGTCACTAAATCCAGGCCACACTCAAGAGGAGAGAATTACACAATGGCATGAATATTAGGCGGCAGTGATCACTGGGTGCCTCCCACTCCTGGGAATTGAAGACAGAAGAGGAGGGTATTAGGAAATATTTTATAGAACTCCAGAAACTAAATAGTTAATTAAAACCATGTGCTTCTAAATCTAGTAGCTTCTTAGCCTCTTCTTTCTGAATCCTAAATTGATTCTGAAGTGGAATATGGAGAAGCAGTATACGATTTGACTTGAGAGGAGAGTCCCTTTCCTTTTTTATCTTCTAATTCTTCTCTCTGCCTCCATTTTTTTCTCCTATTAGTTCAACCCTCTTGGAAAAGCTTGAAGTTGAAGACTCATAGTTCACCCATGTGAGTGTCTGGGATGTGGGGGAGGTGAAAGCTTTGAAGGGTATAAAAGAGGATCACTGATAGAATGGAGCAAGGAGTTAACTGGCAAGGTTAGAGGGACTGGGTGCCCCCTAAATCTTGCTTTTTAAAATTTTGTGTTTTTGGTACCTTGTACTTGGAAGCTGAGGCTGAAATAGAAAATTTCTTAACTCTGCCAGCCAGGTTGAAATTAACTTGAATTCCATTCCTACCTCCTTATCTCCACGTCCTTAACTTTACACCCTTTCCCTTTTCAGTGAGCAAAAAAACTCAGAAGACCTGGAACAAGATTCTGCTGTCTCTTGTGATCCCAAGATGTCAGCCTTGCCCCAGCAGTGCTGAGTTTTCTTCTTGGTCATCAAAAAAGGAGCGTAACGGAGACTAGGGGAGCTCTCTATCTCCTTCCCGAAGAAGAACCTCTTCTCCTTCCCCTTCCTCATGAATGGGCATTAGTGCCTCGGACAGTTGAGGACAGCTGCATCCTCTCCACTCCTGAGTTGGGCGGCATGAATTTTCAACTGGCCAACCTTGGGTTCCACAATTGAATTTTTTCAAATCCCCATTCTTCCTGCTAGAAGTGGGGTTGCTGGACTTGGTGGTTTGGTGGTTTTCTTCCCCCTCATGCACCTTTCACTAGGAGCTGGACTCTTAATTTCCTCAGGACAAACTGGCTGGCACATTATCCCCACCTCAGCTCTTTCTCTCTGGAAGAAGACCCTGTAATCTTTGTAAAGGTTTTTGGGGGAGTAAGGTATTTAACCACCTCCCAGCTGCCTTCTTTTTTTCCTTCAAAGAGGGAAAGAAAAAGTAGTGCGCAGCATACGATTTGAAGCCAGACAGTTTCAGATCAGAACTCCAGAAGTGTCAGAGAGATGGCTATTCATAACGTTCCCTCAGAAGAGCCCTGGTGTTTGAGAAACAGAAGTGGGGTGGTTGCTCTGCCAGGAGCAGCTCCTCTTTAACTCCTCCTCTCTTGATGAATTTCTTAAGGCTGAAGGAATGGAGAGAGTGGGACATGGGGTAATCTTTACCCCTTTTTTTTAAAACCATAGGGCAGTCATGGGGGTAGAAGATCAGAGCCCTTCCTAAGCAGGACCCTACTCACTGCCAGGCTATAATGATTATTACTGTTTTGCAATTTGAAATGTATTCTGGTTGTTTTTCTAAATATGAAGGCTTATCAAATGAATTTTAGATCCTTCTCCAAAGGAGGTTTCTTCCTTGCTCTTCCCACCTATTCCGACAGTATTCTGCTGTTCCTGGAGCTGCAGTGAAGAGTGGGATACCTGTGTCTGTTTAATGGCAGTCCATATCTATGAGGCTGGAGAATATTCTCTTAAACTCGTGGGGAGCCAGCAGATTCTTGCTTCGGTGAGGTCATTGCTGTGCCACATGCCCTGCCCCCTCTCTTCATGCAGCGAACTTGGAAATGGGCGCTATATAATCCTTTTCCTCCCCATCTCCAGGTATGTGGTTCTCCATGTGATCCTCCTACTCCTGTCAGGGCATGAAGGGGGCCTGGCGTCTCAGGCAGATTGTTGAATTCCCATACTATCCCCTTTCCATCCCACCCTACCTTGATAGTAGGTTAGCCCATATCCTAACTGTCTATAACTGTCTATATTAGACACCCCCAGCCAGCTTCTGGCTGCCTGTCTTTGCTGCCATGTTCTTTTTTACAAGAAGGAAAGAAACAATTCTTGCTATTTTTTTCATAATTTACTATTTATGATGTATTTAAGTGTTTTATTCAGGACAGAGTTCTGTAGGGGATGGGAGGGAATATTTGAGGGAGGTTGGGTCTTAGGGAAGGGAATGGGAACTCAGCATTTTTATGAAATGTCACTATTTGCCGCTACTTTGTATTGTTCACAAATGGCAAATGCAATATAAAAGTGATGAATATCTGGTTTTAATCTATTAAACTTTCATCAGTTATTTAGACCTCTTGTTTCTTCCTGGTTCTTTTTCATATAATATCTACTCCATGCTCCTACCCCAGCACCCAGGCTCAGTTTTGTTCATGTTGCCCTGAACAAATGCTGCTTGCTTTCCAGTTTCCCTCACTCCAGCTTCAGTCTAACTCAAGCTGAGAGAAATGGCTTCATTCCAGCCACCCCTTCCAACCTAACAACTTGAACTTGACAAAGAAAAGCTGTGAAAGGATATGAAGGGAACTACTGTAGGTCTGTTGCCTAGGTTGCAGCCCACTTTAACTGAGGGATTTGGGGATCCAAAGCTCAAACTCTTACTCAGGTTTAGGAGAAGAGGAGAGGGACAGTGGGAAAAGCAAGCTTGAGATTGGTTGGCCCTAGGATTCCCTCCCTTTCCTTCCCCTGACTTGGCCCTAAGGTGTCACTCTTAGAAAGCATAAAAGCTGCTTCCCTCACCTCTGTTGTTTCCTCTTGTGTGAGGTTGAGCTTAGGCTCTTTTGCAGTGGTGGGAAACTAGACAAAAAGGGGGGGCTTTGGAGAGGAGCAAGTTAACTAAATATTGCTCTTTTCATACCACTGTTCCCTATCTTGCTAAGATCATTCTACAAATATTTAATCACCAGCTAATGAGCAATGCACTGGGCAACTCGAGGTCAAAAGAAGTAATCGACCTTCAAGAGTTTACAGTGTCCAAGAGGAGTGCACACACACACGTGTGTACACAAAAACATCAGATGTGATACAATTAAGGATTTCAATTCTCTGAAAGACTGGTACAGAACATAACGGTGGAAGAAAATTAGAGGTTGCTGTGGGCTAGAAGCGTTGGAGAAAGTTTCACTTGAGCATGAGAGCCTAGAGGTATGAGAAAAGCAATGCAGAAGGAGACCTGAGTGAGAATACTGGAGCAGGAATAGGTGGAGGTAACACTGGAAACCCTGACTGCTGGCTGAGGAATTTTTATTTTAAACAGGAGGCAATAGGGAGCCGTAGGATGTTTTTGTACCTAAGTAGAATGTAGAACAAAACAAAATGATTCAGAGAAGAATCTGTTGGCAAAGTTCTATCCAAGTGGGTAGATAAAGCAGACTGGTTAGACTATAATAATTTAGGTGTGAGGTGGTATGGGCCTAGGATGATTGTGATATCAGTTGGAGAGGAAAGGAGAGAATTGAGATGGTAATAAAGCTTTATGATAGAACAAGTAATAGGAGTGAAGGGGTAATTGGGAATTCTCAAAGTTTTGAATTTTGAGTTTAAGCCACAGGTTCAGCTCTCCTTTAGGCTGTATAAGGAGAAAACTTTTTCTCTAACACAAATTGACTCCAGGGGCCAGCCCAGTGGCACAGTGGTTAAGTTCACACAATCCCCTTCAGTGGCCCAGGGTTTGCTGGTTCGCATCCCAGGTGCGGACATGGCACTGCTTGGCAAGCCATGCTGTGACAGGCGTCCCACATATAAATTAGAGGAAGATGGGCACAGATGTTAGCTCAAGGCCAGTCTTCCTCAGCAAAAAGAGGAGGATTGGCAGCAGATGTTAGCTCAGGGCTAATCTTCCTCAAAAAAAAAAAAAAAACAAAAAGAAAGAAATTGACTTCCAAACATGTTTTAGGCATAAATGGTCATTCTGCTACCCTTACCTTCTCACTCCCTGGTCAATTTATGCAACTGCTGAGTGGGTACAGTAGATACCCTCTTATGATCAGAAGGTCCCTCTAGTGGTGAGCAGCAGCTGCTACTTTATAAGTATGCTGCAATCTATTCAGATACAAGTAGGGCCTATTAGTGTAAAACTTCTATAACTAAAAGTTAGGAAAATCAAAACCGTGGGATAATAAAGCTGGAAATCCTGGTCTAATGTTTTACTCTTAAGCATGTCAGTCTCGGCTATTCTGAAAGTTATTCACCATAGTTGGTATCTCATTCATTCTTTAAACAAAGATTTGCCAGTTAAAACATTCCAGATTAAATGTTTTTTCTTTAGTTTTTCAAGGACACGAAAAGGTCAATATCTCCTGCAAAATTATTTCTTAAAAGTCCATTATAAAGCATCTGCTTGCTGTTTCCAATTTCTCTCCTCTCTTTTTTAAAAAAAGTTTTGTTATGGAAATTTCCAAACCAAAGGTAGAGAAGTATAGTGAACTGCCATGTATGCATCACTCAGCTTCAATAATTATCAACGTAAATAAGGCCAATCTGTTTCATCTATACTTTCTACCCCACCCCCACTTTCTCACTGCACCTCCAAAGGATTAAGTTAAAATCAATCCCAGACATCATATCCTTTCATCATAAGTATTTCAACAGATAACCCCAGAGATAAAGACTCTTTTTAAAAACATAACTATGACAACATTATCATGCCTTTAAAAATTAGTAATTTCTTAATAATAAATACCCAGGCAGTGGTTAAAGTTAGTCAATTGTCTTACAAATGAATTTTTACATATAGTTTTTTTGACTCCAATCTCTGTTGAATACACTCCAAGTTTTTGCCCCCACCACACAACCAAAGCCTCTTTTATTAAGGTCACTGATGACCGACCTCCACGTTGCTAAATATATCAGTCCTCATCTTACTTGACATGTCAACAGCGTCTGATAATTTATTACTGCCTCCTTGAAACATTTTCTTGACTTAGCTTCTGGGATGCTACTTTCTCCTGGTTGTTTTTACTAAGGTGCTGTGCTGCTCTGTCTCCATACTCTTTTGGTTCCTCCTTTTCTCTCTAACCTCTAAATGTTGGAGCGTCTCAGGACTCAATCATATGACTCCTTCTTTTAGTCTACATTGACTCCCTAGATAATTTTAAAAAGCCGTTATAGTGGCCTAAAGACCCTATATAATTTGTCCGACTCCCCTGTCACCTCATGATCTAAATACCATCTAAGTATCAGCTAAAGACTCCCAAATTTCTATCTCCGGCCAAGACCTTTTTTCTGAACTGCAAACTCATATATCCACCTGCCTATTTGACCTCCATCTAGGTGTCTAATAGGTATCTTAAACCTAACATGTCCAAAAGCTGAATTTCTGCTTCCTGCCCCTCCTAACTCATCGTTAGAAATAATGACTCCATTCTTTTAGTTGCTTAGAACCAACTCTGGTGTCTTCCTTAACACTCCCTTCCTTTACATCCTCCATCAAATCCATTGGCAAATTCTGTCAATTTTGTGCCTTATGGTATACTCGAAATCCACCCATATGTCACCATTTTCACCTCTTACTGCCCTAGGATAAGCCTCCATCATATCTGATCACTGAAGCAGGCTCCTAACTGGTCTATCTCCAACGGCCCTTTTTCCCCAGTCTGTTCTCAGTGCAGCAGCCAGAGTGATCCTGTTAAAACATTAAGTCAGATCCTGTCAATCCTCTGTTGAAAACTTTCCAACAGGTCCTTATCTCACTCAGAGTCCTTAAAGTGATCTATGAGGTTGTACATGACCCAACCTCTCTTTACTCCCTTTGCCTCTCTGGCCTCATTTCTTCTTTCTCGACTGGCCTCCCTGTTCTTAAGTACACTCTTGCCTCAGGGCATTTGCATTTACTCTTTCCCTCAGGTATCCTTCAGGTCTCTATTCAAATGTAAGTCTTCTTTAATATCGTATTTATGTAAAATAGAAGCCACGGCCACTTGGGTTTATTTTTCTCTGCAGTGCTTACCATTATTTGATGATACTGTAGTCCCCCCCTTATCCGCGGTTTCACTTTCCGTGGTTTCAGTTACCTGAAGTCAACCGCAGTCCGAAAATATTAAATGGAAAATTCCAGAAGTAAATAATTAGTAAATTTTAAATTGCACGTCGTTTTAAGTAGCATGATGAAATTCGCGCTGTCCAGCTTCTATCCCACCCAGGATGTGAATCATCCTTTGTCCACGTACCTATGGTGTATATACTACCAGCCCATTAGTCACTTAGTAGCCTTTTGATTATCAGATCGACTGTATCGCAGTGCTTGTGTTCAAGTAACCCTTATTTTACTTAATAATGGCCCCCAAGCCAACTTTATTATTAGTTATTGTTGTTACTCTCCTACTGTGCCTAATTGATAAGTTAAACTTTAACATGAGTATTGTATGTATAGGAAAAAACGTAGTATATATAGGGTTCAGTACTATCTGTGGTTTCAGGCAACCAGTGGGGGGTCTTGGAATGTATCCCCCAAGGATAAGGGGGGACTATATATATATTTACTTATGGGTTTATTGTCTGCCTTCCCCCATGGAATGCTTTTTTCATTATAGAGCTCTTGCTTTACTGAAATGTGATCCTATCAGATTTCATCTTTTGTGAGCATTGTTGCAACTCACATATCTCTTTTATTTTTTCTTTTTGTGAGGAAGATTGGTCCTGAACTAACATCTGTTGCCAATCTTCCTCTTTTTGCTTGAGGAAGATTGTCACTGACCTAATATCTGCACCAATCTTCCTCTATTTTATGTGGGATGCTGCCACAGCGTGGCTTGAACAGTGCTACGTCCATGCCTGGGATCCCAACCTGCGAACCCCGGGCTGCCGAAGTGAAGCATGTGAATTTAACCTCTATGCCACCAGGCCGGCCCTTACATATCTCTTAATTGAAAAGCATCTGACATAACTGTAACAGAATATCTTTTCTACTTGAAGAGAGTATTAGTTCTTCTTTCTCCAGGTTGAATCAAATCACCCTTATAAGGCCTATTTTTCACTATCTCATTTTTTTATGGTCAGTATATTTTCGTATTCTTTGCAAGAACTCCATAGATGTTTAAAAGTGTAGGACCAGGGCTGGCCCGTGGCCGAGTGGTTAAGTTCGCGTGCTCCGCTTTGGCAGCCCAGGGTTTTGCTGGTTGGGATCCTGGGCGCAGACATCGCACCACTTGTCAAGCCACGCTGAGGTGGCATCCCACATGCCACAACTAGAAGGACCCACAACTAAAAATATACAACTATGTACCGGGAGACTTTGGGGAGAAAAAGGAAAAATAAAATCTTTAAAAGTGTCAGACCTAAAATCTGGTCACAATTATTAAATGTGTGACTAAAACTGAGAAGGTGACACCTCCCTGCACAGATATCATGGACCATGTTTTCCCTGAACAGTGATGACGGTATTCATTCAGTTCCTAGTCCCTTGGTTTAGGTTGAATACTTGTCTCTGTTTACTTCCATGTTTACCAGAATACTAACTTATAGCTATCCCTGATGTTCAACTTGTCTTTGGAGTTGTATTATCCTGACTAACCCACAGTATTTTTTTGTTGATGAATTTTATATTTTATCAAATACTCTTCTCTTGATCTGATTTCAGCTATTTGTGCTGATTTCTATTTTGTACAATATTAATATAGCTACACATGCTTTCGTTTATTACCATTGCCTGATATATTGTTTTTTTCTCTTCCTTTATTTTCACCTTTTGTCACTTAGTTTGGTGTGTCTCCTATTTACATTGTGCAGCTGTTTTTTAAAAAAGATAATTCTTGTCTTGTTTTAAAAATATTTTGGTTATGTTTGAACTTGTCACTAATTATTTTTCTGTGCTTTCTTATTTTTTCCCCCTTTCCTATCTATAGTTATATTTACAGATTTTTTTTCCTCTAGTGATACGGAGATTTTACTCCTTCACAAGCTCTGATGGTTACCAATAACTTTTGAACATATCCATTAAAACTTTACCAACATCTAGGTAACGTAACCTTCTCTCCCATCTCTAAGTACAGCGTTCATGGTGTAGCCGTGCCTGGTCCCTCTCTCCTTTCCCCCTTCTCTCCAAGATAGAGACCTAGAATTTACAGTTTTACTTGGGGTGTGTGTGTGTGTGTGTGTGTGTGTGTGTGTGTGTGTAGGGGAAGGTAATACAAAGCATTTTTGAATGTTATTCTTGATTAACAAACCAAAATAGTTGTCATTCATTCCTTGGGAGATTAGTTAAAATTACTGATTTGTCAAACCTTTGCTGGGCACCTACCTTGTGTCAGGCTCTGTACTGGGTTCAGGGATTGCAAAGATTGACACCTTTCTGCCCTTCATTAAATGGGAGAGAGGCTACCCAAACAAACGCAATTCAGGGGTTTAAGGACTTAGTAGTTAAATGAACAAAGTGGTATGGGGAACAGAGGGAGGTGGGACGTCATTAGTCATCCCACTACTTTTTGAAAAGGACAATGCTAGGACAGATACATCCACAGCATTTTCAAAGGCTTCTTCACAGCTTCTCTTACATACCGCCGGCAGGTAATCCACCAGAGAATCTGCGGGGCGCCAAAAGTGGAGGTGGGGCCCTCTCTTTGAACGTCCCCCCCGCCCACAAACGTCCTTTCTATTTTGGCTGTGCCTACAACTCCCAGAACCCAACGCGGAGGACGAAGGCGGAACCAGCTGGCCGAGCCGAGGTCTGTGATTGGTGGTGAGCTCTGGGCCAATTGGAGGAGTCGTTGTTTGGCTGTCCAGGAGAACCAGTCGGGGAGGAAGGTGGCAAGATGGTGTTGGAAAGCACTATGGTTTGGTGAGGAACTACCTCGGGGCTCCGTGGGGGGCGGGTCTGGGTAGGGGGTGCATGTCGCGCGGAGGCTGGGCGGGCCTGAGGAGGAGGTGGGGGGCTGACGGGCGAGATGCGGCCTTGGGCCGAGAGGGAAGGAGCCCGATGGACTCCCTGAGTCATCCCGGGACCGAGAGAGGAGGACAGGCCCGGGGTATCCCCCATTAACCCTCAGCCCGCAGACAGTCATTGACCGGCCGATCCCTGCTGCCTTTCTCTATTTCGCGTCGTCTTCTCTAGACCAGCCTCAGGTCTGTCTTTAGCCAGAGTCCTGCTTCTCGGACTCATCGTTACAGTCTTCTGCCCTCCTCTTCTCAGGGTAAAGGATGTTAGGAAGACAGATTATAAATCCCTTCCCTACCCCATTCACTCTAACTCCATTACCTTTCCCTGTATCATCTTCGAAGGTGCTGTTTATAGGTTGCTTTCTATGTGTCGGACATTGGTTTACTTTATCTCACTTAAACTTCACAACACTTCAAGGTAAATATCCCTGCATTTTACAGATGAAGATACCGAGTCTCAGCAATTTTAAATGACTTACCCAAAGTCACACTGCTAATTAAGTGGTGGAGCCAGGATTTAAACCCAGGGCTATCTGACACAAAGGCTCTTCTCTGGTGAGCTGACTGTCTTCAACAGTCTCAGACTTGGGCTGAGTATGTTTTCTGAGTTGGATTAGGAGCTGAGGACACAAACTTTTGTAAGGTTTCAAGAGTTTCTTCTAAGTGTGAGCATAGAATATAATACAGAATAGTACATATACACAAATCGCGAATTGTATGGAACAGACACCTAAGAGTTTTCTTTGACGGGGAGAGGATAGCATTGCCAGATAAAATATAGGATGCCTGGTTAAGTTTGAATTTCAGATGAACAGTACTCTTTAATATAAGCAAATGGCAATAACTGTGTCCCAAATCTTGCCTGAGACATACTTAAAAGTCGTTTGTTATTTATCTGAAATTCACATTTAACTGGGAGTCCTGTATTTTTATTTGCTAAATCTGGCAACTCTGGTGAGAGGTTAGAGTAGAAAGAGGACAGGATTTGGAATCCCAAAACCTGTGTTTTGGTGTTTACCAGCTGCGTGTTCTTGAGAATATAGTAAATGTTTCTTTATAAAATGGGAATAATAGTAACATCCACTTTTCTTATAGCACAAGTAGGTAAAATGTATGTGATGGTGCTCTGTAAACTGTATAGCCCTGTGCATACATTAGTTGCCATGGTACTTGAGGAAAGAAAGAATTTAAGAGGGGCCTTGAAGAGACTTAGACAAATGTTGAGAAGGAGCTGTGATTACAGGTAGAGGGGAGGGCATGCAGGTACTGAAGTGTAAATGCCCCAGGCATATTTAGGGATTAGGGAAGAGACTGGTGTGATAGATGGTGGTTGGTTGAAGGTAGTTTTTTGTTTTTATGGGAAAGTAGATTGGACCAGGTGGAAATGTCAAATGTCAAGTGACAAAAGTCAAGCTGAGGAGGTTGACTTCTGTCCTGTAGCCTTCAGTAGAGGACTTCTGAAAAAGTCCTGAGGGTGGTGGAAGCAGAGCTGTCTGTAAAATGGCATTTAATAATATAGATGTGTCTCGATGTATAGGAGGAAAGATTGGGCCCAGAGAGACATATTGGTGGTCTATTGTAATTTCTCAGGCACAGGATAATGATAAGAACCACTCCTTTTGTCTGTAGGACCTCGTACTTTGTTGTACATCAGAATTCTCAGGAGGAGTTTATTAAAAATTGAAAATTAAAAAAAAATAAATTAATACCTTTTATTTTTATTTATTTATTTAAAGTATGCTTTTTTTTGGGTGAGGAAGATTGGCCCTGAGCTAATATCTGTTGCCAATCTTCCTCTTTTGTTTTTTTGTCTCCCCAAGGCCCCAGTACATAGTTATATATCCTGTTGTAGATAGTTCTAGTTCTTCTGTGTGGGATGCTGCCACAGCATGACCTGAGGAGCGTTGTGTAGGTCTGTGCCTAGGATCCCAACCAGCGAATCCTGGGCCGCTGAAGCAGAGCTGGCGAACTTAACGACCACGCCTCCAGGCCAGCCCCTATATTCTGTTTTTAAATGAAGACTTTAGGTGGATAATATTGTAAGCCCTTATTTTGATATTAATTTTTGTTGGGAAAAATTACATACTGTTGAGCAGAAGTAGTCACAAGAGATACATATATTATTCCAATCATATACAGTTCAAAATTGGGAAAATTAAACAATGTGTTTTTTAGGGATACATACATAGTGTTTTTTTCCCAGTCCTCCTCTTTTTGCTGAGGAAGACTGGCCCTGAGCTAACATCTGTGCCCATCTTCCTCTACTTTCTATGTGGGACGCCTACCACAGCATGGTGTGCCAAGTTGTGCCATGTCTGCACCTGGGATCTGAACCGGCGAACCCCGGGCCGCTGAGAAGCGGAACATGTGCACTTAACTGCTGCACCACCGGGCCGGCCCCTACATAGTGTTTTTAACACCACCACCAATCACCCTCTTAGTGGTTCTGTTACACAACAAACTGTCAGTTCTCACTATCTCTCAAGCCCCCTTTCTTGCTCTGACACCTTTCTTCCAGCCTTTATCCATTTGCTGGTCTTGCCCACAATCCTTATACTTAGTAGCTGTTCCATCTGAACCATCCTCAAAGCCTCCATTGTCTTTTATGTTTGGACTCACTAGATTTGAAGCTAGAGAGGCAGTTACTTCCCTGCTGGGAGAATAATCAGAAGCAGTGTATCCAGAAAAAAAGAAAACAGTGCACGGTCAGTAGAGTTGCCTTTGACCTCCTTCACATAGATTGAGTTTTCACTTTAAGGACTAGTCTGTGTTTCATGCTTACTGTTAGTCACTGTGCTAAGTATTTTCCATGCATTTAATCCTCATATCAATCCTATAAGGGTAGGTACAATAAAACCCATTTTACAGATGAGCTAACTGGACCTTAGAGAAATTAAGTACCTTCCTTAGGATCATGGAATTAGTAAGTAGCAGAGTGGGAATTTGAACCTCAACCTGAACACTTCCCTTTGCTCCCTTTTCTCCTTGCCTTCCAGTAGCTTCTTAATTAACTCTTCATCATTTCTGGTTTGTATTTATTGCCAGGTGAGGGATACTAAAGAAGAAAATTTCCCCCAAGTCCATATTTTGCTTGCCAGTAGAAATGAGGCATCTCATGTAGGACACTGCTTTCTTCCATCAGCACAGACGGAATCACTGACTGTTAGAGTTCTCAGGGACCTCAGGTCCATCAAGAATTGAACCTGTTCATGGGGCCGGCCCGGTGGTGCAGTGGTTAAGTGCGCACGTTCTGCTTCGGCGGCCCGGGGTTCACCGGTTTGGATCCCGGGTGCGGACATGGCACCACTTGGCAAGCCATGCTGTGGTAGGCGTCCCACATAGAAAGTAGAGGAAGATGGGCACAGATGTTAGCTCAGGGCCAGTCTTCCTCAGAAAAAAGAGGAGGATTGGCAGCAGTTCACTCAGGGCTAATCTTCCTCAAAAAAGAAAGAATTGATCCTGTTCAGGGACTTACATAACTGCTTCACTTACCTGCCTTCTTGTGGTCTCTGGGAAGCTGGAGCTTGTATTGCATGTGGTTTGGATTCTTGTAGATTGTGAAAAGTTGCAGGGATAGAAGAGGTGAGACCCCTCATCTATGAAAGCTCATGTTTGTAGTTCACTCCAACTGCCAAAGCTGTTAAACATTTAATCACATGGTTGCATTGTGCTTTCTTGCACTCAGTGCTGCCAAGTGGGTTATATTTTAAATATTTTTAAGTTGCCATCTTCATTTCCTACCTTTGGAATACTCCCATCTTAATTTAACGTAGCATATTCACCCATGACAATGCTTAGTAATACTTAAATGCACCTTATAAAAAGGTGATTGTGGTACATCAGTAGGTTGCAACCTTTGGTGCTTATCAGAACCACTTGTGGAGTGGAGATTTGAAATTTTTTCCTCTTTTGGTCATTTTGAGTCAGTAAGTCTGGAGTAAGGCTTGGTCATCTGTATATTGAAGAAGAAAATCCTGCAGGTGTTTTCTGTTTTCCACAAAGACTGTGAGCCACTGCCATACACCACAATGCCCCTCACAGGGGAGTGTTGAAGGAGGTGGGGGTCCCTGGAACTGGAGAGAATGCCTCAGAGATCCTACAATATGTCTTCCCTCTCCTCCTTCACTCCTAATCTGACAGTGTGGACAACAGTGAGTATATGCGGAATGGGGACTTCTTACCCACCAGGCTGCAGGCCCAACAGGACGCCGTTAACATAGTATGTCACTCCAAAACCCGCAGCAACCCTGAAAACAACGTGGGCCTCATCACCTTGGCCAAGTACGTGGGACAAAGGAGGATGGGGCTCAGTAGGTGGGTGGGTGGTGTCCCACATGTGACCTGCCTTGGTATCCAGGTTGCTACCTTTTTTTTGTTTTTTTTTTTAGATTTCATTTTTTCCTTTTTCTCCCCAAAGACCCCCGGCACATAGTTGTATATTCTTCGTTGTGGGTCCTTCTAGTTGTGGCATGTGAGACGCTGCCTCAGCGTGGTCTGATGAGCAGTGTCATGTCCGCGCCCAGGATTCAAACCAACGAAACACTGGGTCGCCTGCAGTGGAGTGCGTGAACTTAACCACTCGGCCACGGGGCCAGCCCCCAGGTTGCTACCTTTTTGTAGATTCCACAGGCTGCTTTTGCCCATCGCC